TGCTGACTGAAGCACCCCTGAATCCCAAAGCCAACCGTGAGAAAATGACACAGGTGAGCCACACTAAAGGCATGGCATAGTCCAACCTTTCCATTCAACAGGACGTAAATGTCATCCTTCCAGTTAGTCGTGCTGTCCAGCAGTCTGTCTCTCTCAGTTATGGAAGATGGAAAGCACACAGTGACCACCTGTCATATTTACATATTATTACATATAGTTTAGAAAATCACTGTATCTGCTTTGGATGTGAGCACTCCAGTCTGTCCAAACTTTGTAATTTTAATCTGTTTTTATACTCAGGCCTATTATGAAATTATCTTTAATGTGTGCATATGGCTATATTAATATGATAAAAATACAGGCCAAATACAGGGAGATACATTACAGGACAAATATTTTTGGATTTAGATTTTGTATTTTCCTTTCTTGCTTTTACCAAGCATAGAGAAATATCAAAATCTTGCATTCTACCTCTCTTTCAGTAAATTGCTTCAACTAAGCTAAACCCTCTAGTGTAAAGACAATTATTTTAATTGCATTTCAGATCATGTTCGAGACGTTCAACGTGCCAGCCATGTATGTAGCTATTCAAGCTGTTCTGTCCCTCTATGCCTCTGGACGTACCACAGGTAAGCCCCAGGGGAACATGGCACAGGTGTTTGCAATGGTTCCGTGGGGAGGATGGCGATGAGCCATGTGTTACCCTCCCAAAGGGATCGTGCTTGACTCTGGGGACGGCGTCACCCACAACGTGCCCATCTATGAGGGCTACGCCCTGCCACACGCCATCATGCGTCTGGACCTGGCTGGCCGCGACCTCACCGACTACCTCATGAAAATCCTGACGGAGCGCGGCTACTCCTTCGTCACCACCGGTAAGGACACGCCAAAACGGAGCCTTGTTCAGTGGTTCTGCAATTGAATAGGCATGGGAAGGTCTCCAACATGAAAGCCCCTTGAAAGGCTAGCAGAGGATTTGTTTAAAATACGGGGAGGGTGTTGGAGGGTGAAAGGGAACAAGCGGTCAACGTGTCTGGGTCCTTCCTGCATGCCATTTTAAAGATTGAATCCTCCTTACAGCGGAGCGTGAAATTGTCCGTGACATCAAGGAAAAGCTCTGTTACGTGGCCCTGGACTTTGAAAATGAGATGGCCACTGCTGCATCTTCCTCGTCACTGGAAAAAAGCTACGAGCTTCCTGATGGTCAGGTGATCACCATTGGGAATGAACGCTTTCGGTGCCCAGAGACGCTCTTCCAGCCTTCTTTCATTGGTGGGTTCAGTGACTGTTCTGCCTTGGGAACCTGCACAGAAATACCAAGTCCCTATTCCCTTTTGTTTGTGCTCCATTACTGACTCACCCACAGCTATGCATGTGTCCTAGCACCCATTATAAAACAATCTTTTAGAACAGGTCTATTAATGTGGTGGGAAGAACTTCACAATAAACAATTAGCCAAAATGCTTTCCCAAAATAAACCCACAATGTTTATTCCTGCCTTCTGGCATTGGGCCTGTACCATTTTGTATGTTTGAATGTGCTTGCCAGGAGTGGGAAGAGGTGGAAGGGGCATGCAGGCAGCAGGACCTACTTTTATTTTTCCAAAAGACTGCTCCAAATCCTGAATCCATGGTTCATTGCCTTTCCGGAGCAAAGTCAAGACGATGCCATGCTAATCGACATCCATGAAGGCAGATTTGCAACTAGGTCACACAGAAATCCAGAGTCAGTTCTGCCAATAGGCAGAATTTCAACTCAGAGATAAAGCAGTTGCATGCCTAGAGGTATTAGGACATATTTTGACTGTTCTGTCTCTGAGCTGACTTAATTTGAAAAGAGAAAAAAAAAGGAAAAAAAAAAGAGAACAAATTATTCCAAGACCATATAAGGAATTCTTAGGACAATTGAGATTGCCTGCAGAAGCCTAGTGGAAACTTTGCTATTCCACACCCCCAACTTTCTTATAAGGAGGACTTGTTGTGTGTAAGGGGGAGAGGAGGGCTGTATATGAAGGAACTCTTAAGCAAATAATTTAGGCAACTGCAAAATGACTTTCCAGATTTCCAAAGCTCTGAGACTGATGTCCTCCAAAGAATCACTAAACAGCATGTCAGTTCTGCATTAACAATTTTAAGTCTCTGTATGGAGTTGCTTCCTCAGTGTTCTTCTGTACCTTCCCCAGGCATGGAGTCTGCTGGCATTCATGAAACCACTTACAACAGCATCATGAAATGTGACATAGACATCAGAAAGGATCTTTATGCCAACAATGTGCTGTCTGGAGGCACCACAATGTACCCAGGTATTGCAGACAGGATGCAGAAGGAAATAACTGCCCTGGCTCCTAGCACCATGAAGATCAAGGTATGTATGGTGCAATCTTTGTAGATTATATGAGCTGGCATTTACAGAGTCCTCAAAGATCTAATGAAACATGCAACACCTTACAAAGTGAGTGCTTTTAACACATTCTGAATCACATCTGGAGTACCTAGCAAATAATCACCAACTGGTAACTTTGGTGCTGGAAAAAGAGAGCTTTCTCTCATTTCCTTGTTCATGTTGATTTCAGTCAAATGTCCTAATGTGGCCAAAGAACAGCAGGAACCCAGGAATATAAATGTTCCTCTGGGGCTGTATGTGAGCTTCTTCAGCCCTTCTAGTCTGATGGATGTGGGAGAGAGGAAATGCTGGTTTTGTCTTTGGATTACAAGTTTGAAAGAGACCCTGACAAACTAATCTTTGTTCTGCTGCTTCAAGTCTTCTGTTTTTTGCTTTACAAACATTTAATCAGCTATACCAAAAGGAGTGCTCCATAGGTCATTGATTTTTTTCAAGCCCACCTAGACTGTCATTATGTTTCCAGAGCAATTATCTCCCCTTTTCTCATATATGCTCAGGAGTACATGAGTGCACCAGGGACAGGGGGCACTGAGGGTTGAGTCAGGCAGAGAATTTGAGGGTATAGATTTATATAACAAATTCTAAACTTTCCTGCTTGCAGCAATGGACAGCAGTAGCACATAGATGCAGTGTTTTTTGTTAATACCACAGATCACTGCTTTAGTATTTTTGTATAAAAATGTATTTTATTCATAGTAGACACTTGGACTTAATGTTTTATTTCTTGAACAGATCATTGCTCCTCCTGAACGCAAGTACTCGGTCTGGATTGGAGGCTCGATCCTTGCTTCCCTTTCTACTTTCCAGCAGATGTGGATCAGCAAACAGGAATATGATGAAGCTGGCCCATCCATTGTTCACCGCAAATGCTTTTAAATTGCTTTTTCTTTATATCCCTAGTGTGAATGTATTCAGGGAAGTACATTCTTATAATTTCATTCCATAAATCCTTCACCGTAATTAATCTAATTAATTGGATACTGTGTATTTCTTAAAATAAATTTTAAATACGCTATGAAATTGCTGCTCCTATTTAAAACAAAAACAAAAGCCAAGCCATGAGTGTGTGGAGATGCCATTACAGCTGGCTTGAAGCTCCATCTTGTGACATGAATTTATTATTACACTCCACTGGGCCTAACAGAAATGGTGGTACCTTTAGCTCCATGATACCAATGCCAGAAGATGCTCACCTGTCAGGCTGCATGTTCTCAAAGTTTAGCCTCAGAATACATTTTTATCTGCAGACAGAACCAGCCACGGTTCTTACAAAGTTCTAGGCAGTACCAAAGGAGCACGGCATCTGTTCAATATCAGGAATACCATGTTCAATATCATGGGCACGCTGCTTTCCATCTGCTCTATCCAGAAATATTATCTATCCACATCACTTCTTACTACCCAGCTCTCATGCTGGAAAAGCTAATTTCTTACAGTTCAGGGCCCAGGGGTGTATGATATGTACCACAACAATCCTGTGTTTTCTTTAAAGAAATAAAACCTGTTCCTTTGGGAGCATATCTAAACACTAATAGTAGGTCAAACATTTGACTTTTCTATTGTATGCCCTCAGGATGAGTGCAGCCTATTATTTTTATTTTGTGATTTCTAGCAAGATCTAAAGGGTAATTAAGCTGGCTTAATATACTTTCTTTTCAGAACTTTTTTTTAAAGGGGGGGAGTAATGTGTTCAAAGCAGCTAAAATAATTTTGACAATTTTCTTTTTCTGTGATTTTTTGATTCCATTTATAATCTTAAACACATCAGCTAGAAGTATATGCTTAGAAGCTGAAGCCAGTAAAACTGTCTTAGAAGTATATATGTATGAATAAAGAATTCACTGAGACAGACCTGGAAAAGGTCACTTCTAAGGAACTTGCTGCAATCTATATTCATTAGAGTTCAGGATAAAGGATACTATTTATTTTTGTTAACCTATTTTCCCCTCTCAACTCAATAGTTTACCTCACTTGCCTGTTACTTGTTACGTTTCAAACTGTTAAGTTCTTTGCAACAGCACCATGTTATTACCATGTCTTCATAACCCCAGGGTTTCAGATCTTGTCCAGCTTCTGCCTGTTCACACATGTTGCAAAGCTCTTTGTACTAACCTTATTACTTAAAGTATAGGTCATCTAGGTTCTTGGAACAGTTACTAAATAAACTCTTGTGAAAGCAAATAACTTTGTATGGCTCTTTCTTCTAACTATGTCTAGATCTTTTTATCTAACTCTAGATAGATTGTGTAAATCTTTTTCGGGATAAGAAGTCTCTTTCAATTTAAAGTCTCTACTGATAGGTTTCTGGAGAAGACACATTTCTCCAAGGGACTCTGATGCATCCCTACTATCCCAAAATGATGAGGATCAGCTCTCAGGTAAAGGATCTGGATATTTCTAAGTATCTTCTGTTCAATAGCTGAAACTGAGCTATAGAAGTTGGACAGGAAAAAAAGATGAAAAAAAAATCACCTAAACTGATTGATTTGCCTTTACTACATATAAAAAGCCAACCACTGTTAAAAACACCTAATTCTCAGAAGGAAATTAATGCAAAAAAGTGACAAAAGAAACATTACTTATTTCAACACAGTTACTGTAGTTTGAAGTTCATTTTATTGTTGTGTTTTATGGGTGAGATTTGTTTACAGATTCAGGGTTAATGCCACTGAACTCCATCTTAACAGAGCAACAAAATAACTCCAAAACAGGCTAGAGCAATAAATATCAAACCATTCAATCTAAAATGTATAAATATAAAAGTAATTTCTGAAAATGTAGGAAAAAACAGGAATCCATTTTTCTCTTTTGGCCTTTTGTAGAGTACATTGTTGTGGTCCATCCGTATCACCTCAGATCCAGCACGATTATCTTTATGTCTTTCCCAACCACATGGGTACATGGCTGCAGAAGAAGTCAACCCATTACTCTCAGAAATCCCAGTAAAATAGCCAGTAACTTCATCCATGAACTACATGTGTAAAAGACCAGTGAAAAGTACCTACATGGAACACAAAATCTTAACTTTTTTCAGAGCTGGACTACCTTCTCATTATCCCGACACTCAATGATGAAAGAACAGAACAAAACAAAAAACTCTGATCTCTCCTTTTGAGGCCTAATGCTGACATTCAGGGAGCCTGACACCACATAATTTCCAATGTCTCTCAGCATGACTTCTCTGTATTGGATCATTTTATATTAATCAATAGGAGATGCTTCTGTATTTGAAGTGAACCTCATTGAAAAAACCAAACCCTTAATTATTCAAAGGTAAAGGCTCTTATCAGAAATGCCAGTGTTAGCTGGAGGACAGTTCTGGCTGACTGTACTGCTCAGCCACACACACACCATTATGCTGTTGAAACATCAAAAGATACACCAGTTACAGAGAAATGCTCAGAGAAGCCAGGGCAAACTTTTAGCAATGAAGGAAATGGGGCTTAATCTACTTCCAGCTGTACTTTAAAGCAGCTGGGATGTTTTGCTGGGGCACCAAAACTGGAGAGATGAACTGATTCATTGCTTAAAAACTGAAGAGTTCAAGAGTAACTCCCATTTGAAAATGTGGGTTTTGCTCCTTCTGAAAGCAGGTAAAAGGGGTGACTGATAGTAACTAACCACCATCTAAATGGCAGCTTGTAACACTCAACTCATGGCTGCTTAAGTAGTCTCCTGATGTCTACCTTGGTCAGTGAACTAAGAGCAATGAATTAGTAAAACAGGGGGAAAAGTATTAAGAAATATAATCTCAAGTTTCTGTTTGCAGCAGAACCATGGTCAAGAGTTTGAATAGCAAAAACAGTGTTGAATCATATACTTACATTAAATAACCTAGGGTCCTTTGTATGTGGATGGAATCCCTTCTTTTTACAAGCAGAAACTTCTAGCATGCCAGCATTAGTCAGTCTGAAGATGCCAGTGCTGAAAAGCAGAACATGAAACTCCTGTTACACTCTGCTCCCATTGTACACATCCAAGGTTTCACACACAAATTGCTTTGCTTAAAAGAAGGACAACAGGAAGGTGCTTGGTGACCTTCAATACACAGGAGCCCTGGCTGAGCTGGGTTTTTAAAGCTATTTTAAATCAAGGGGAGTTGTATTGCTGTAAAGGAAGAGATGATGAGGGGAAGGGGACAAAAAAGATCCCAGTACTGTTCCTGTTGGGCAGGTTAGGCACTGAGGGATAAGGCTGGTTCACACAGGAACAGATGCAAACCAGAAACTTGCATGTTCTGGATTGCATTTCACCCAGGGCAACTTAAAAGATGCCAGCCTTTAAACCAGCTGTGTAAATGACTAGTAGGAGCACATCCTCCCCCCTCTTTTAGGTAATCACACAAAGCATTAGAAAATGCACTGCTGCAACTCCTTAGGTATTGAATAAAATGTTACAATGCCATCCCTCTGCAAAGAGAACCTATTACCTACAGGGCAGCACCTGACCATATAAATGTTACAGGTTAGAGTTGGTTACAGGGTGTCAGTGTCAACTGTGAGAGAGGCTTTAAGAGCAGAGATTTGGAAAGGCATGCAGGCATGCTCAGGGTTAGAAATGCTGGTGCTTGTGCCCTTGCCTCTCAGTCTGTGTTCACAGCTCTACTACCTGAAGGGCCCATTTAGGAAGTCAGGCAACCAGGACAGGATTCACGTCTACTGAGGCAGAAGGCCAGCCAGCAGGAAAGGCTGAAGAAATGCACACTCTAAAGAATGGAGTTAGCCCTGGCAACCTGAAATGCCAGGCACACCAAAGGAGAATCACAAATTTGTTGAGGTTGGAAGGAACTTCTGAAGACTGTCTGGTCCAGTCCCCTGCTCTGGCAGAATCGCCTTGAGCAGGCTGCCAGGACCATGCCCAGTCACGTTTTGCTTATCTCCAAGGATGCAGACTTCATAACATCTCTGGGAAACCTGATCCATTACAAACCTTCATATTAAAATTTGCACTATTCTAGTTTTTTTTCCAGATACATAGTTTGTAATTCATTAAATTAAAAAATAGATCCTTATTATCAAAAAAGGGAATTTTACCCTTCTGCTTTGCAAACTGCAATTTTCACATCATTCTAGAGAAATAAGCCTAACCTCCCACCTCCCTCCACACTCTTAAGCAGACAGAATGAAGACAGATCTGTGGTAGGGCATTGCCTATGAGTACTCCAGAAGAATAGCTTCTGTAATTATTACTTTGTTGAGCAGAATATATAAAAAATAAAATTTAAAACCTGGGTCTCTGGAGGGAGGAGGAGAGAAACAATACTGTGCATAGAGACTGACTGAAATGCAAGTCTAGACTACTTACAGAAAACAAAGTCACAACACAATGTTCGTGCCCTTCATCTGAGTTGACATGTACCCTTTGCATTTGATCAGATTTTATGACAAGAAGCATGGAAAAATACCAAAATATTACTTAAAAATCTGAACTTACTCATTATGCTTTGGTGAACAAACAATTGCAATGGCCTCTGGCAACATTAGCTGATAAGAACAATGAGTATGGAGATCAACACTGGATAAGAATGCAGTTTGTGTTGGATGTGTCTACAAAAAAGAAAGGGAAAACTCAACATCATGAAATATTTCTTACAGGTCAAGGTCAACATACATTTAAAAAGGAAAAATAATTTGTTACAAGTGAAAGCATCAGTAATTCCCCAGGTTGGTTTCTAAAGTTCTTAGCCCAGGGTCTATATTGCTCTACAACCTGGAGAAAAGAAGGCTTTTCAGGATGAGTTTCATGGAGGCATGTTCACAATCAGATATACAAGCAATTTTCTAATCATGGGGAGCAAAAGGTGGAATGAAGAAGTACAAGACAAATGGAAATTATCTAATTGTCCAAAATCCTGAAGAGAAAAATTAATATTAAGTTTAAACAACACAGTACTCCCCTCCCTGACTTTTGAATATGGCATTAGAAAGTAATAAAATACCCCTAAATCAACATAAAAAAAAGTTGCACCAGCAAAAGTAGGCCCATTGTGTCAACAGGATGCCTCAGTTGCATTAAGGAGTTCTCTGTGGAGAACACAAGTGCTTATTTACATCACTGCAATTTGTATTCAGTAAGCAAATTTGTATTACTTCAGTTGTTTCTTTTGTTTATTTCTTTTTTTTTTTTACATAGTATGTAGAGCCAATATAAGAAAACCAGAATATGAGTCATACATACATGGATCCAACCCAAAGTGAGGAGATCATACTGATCCTGAATACCAAATAATTCTTCCACGTTCTCCATGTCACAGTAGTCTGGTCCTGCAGTTTGCTTTGGCACTATTACATGTGTAATAGTAAATTCATTATGAGTCTGCAAAACAAACATTGACTTAGGGTGGAACAGACTGCCTAAGGAATAAATGCTGAATCAAAATCTGAAAGATGTCAGCTAACAAAACAGTACAGCTCCACTGATTCCAGCTCCACTGATTCCAGTGCAGCTCTACCAACACACTGTACCTAAAAATATGCCTTAGCATTTTATCACGAAAGCATACAGGGTAGTATTGGTCACAACAAAAGACTGTTGTATTGAACTGCTCTCAGTGATCAGTGTGAAAAGACTGTCCTTTAAAATATTTAAAAACACATAAAAGAGCTTTGAGAAAACTATCATGATTTTCTGTGAAACAAGACTAATACTGCTGTTCTTTCCCTTCATGCGGCTCAAATACACTTGGGATCATCTAAAATTCTTCATGTCAGCATCAGCCATGACATCTTTCCCTGCTCTCAAAGGACATTAAGTGTAATCTAGGTCAAAGCAAAAAAACCAGCCTGAAAATCAAATGTTCTACAGCTTGATGGGGGGATTTCTGTTTTGTTGTGCCATTATTCATTTGATGACTCCAGTGGATTCTGGCAGTCTTTATATTTCATTGTCCTGTAACTAAACCTCACTTACCTAGGATGAATGCCAGAGAAAGTGCTCGAAAAAGCCTGCATTGTGCAGCATGCTGAAAAACTTGCTAGGCTTTACAGCAATAGCAGCATATTCTGAGCAGATGTTTCCCCAGTAAAGCAAGCCCACAGTGCTGAAATGACCACTCAGGTTATAATAGGAAGTTCATTACATGGAAGGTTAACCATTTATATCTGCTTTTGCTCTGAAATCAATGCATCACAGGATATTACAGCACTATCAAGTATGTCTTCCCCATAAAAATATGAGGCTTAAACTGTACCAGTTTTCCACAGAGAATTCCACATGTCTCTATTCCTCTTACTGTATTTGCCTCTGCCAGCAGCAGAAATTTGTGACAGAGATCCCTGGGCAAAATGACACCTCTGAGTGCTTCGGCCAGTTGAGCTAACCAAGAATAAAAAAAAAAGAAAAAAAAAGAGAGAAAGAGAGATAAAAAAGCATTTACAGCTAGCAGCTAACACAATGAAGATCCCTAAAAAAAAGAAATATACACAGTATATTATAGTGTATTACTACAAGTGGAAGAATTAAACTTACCACATCATAGACTTCTAATGAGAATAAATCTACAGGAAAGCACTTCATATAAATTGAAGCCACCAACCCACAAGATACATTCACTAGCCCATCCCTGAGGTGACAGTCAGCTGGGACCATCTCCCAGGCCAGGGCTTTCCAGGGGAAACCACTGCAGGTTCTGTTTCTATTCCCTTGAAGCCCATGGCAAGATTCAGACCTCATTTCACAGGAACACTAAATCTCAATCTTTGGTACTCCACTGGAAAATGTGAAACTGTGTAACTGTCCTCTTAAAATGAAGAAACTATAAGGAACTGCTGTGTTTGCACAAACCTGTCCATGGTTATTTCAGTATGGGCATCCTCAAAGTGAATAAAGACATATGCAGGTAGACAAAATAAAATAGGGAAAAAAGAAATGTGTGCACTTACTCTGAACAGCACTTAGAGTAGCTGCTGGCTTTAAGACCCGTTCCATGGGCGGCGAATGTCCAGCACAGCCAGAGGTACTGCGCCTCTCCTTTTTCTCCAGCAGTGCTGCAGATAAAGAGCTGTTCTCTGGTACAGAAACACAAGACAGCATACTTCCATCTATCTGTTCAGACATAACCACACTCTCTTTGATTTTCTGATCTCGAGCTAGCTCTTGCTTCTTAAGTTGATCCTCAAAGAACTGAAACTGCTCTGATTCGAGCTGCTGCTGCCGCATGTGTGCGATTCGTTTCTTCTCTGCCTCTATTAGCTTTTGGTGCTCCAGTTTCTTCAGAAATTCGGTTTTACATTTGTTCTGAAACATACACAACATAGTGACATTCCCAGAACACCAAAAATGCTAAGAAAAAGGAAAGGAAAGGAGCAATCTAACAGTTCAATAAAACAATAAAATCCTGTCGTTAAAAAGGAACTCTTTTGAAACCTGGTTACTGAACTGGAAAATACAACTATATCCCCAAAGGTGGGATGGAAAACATAGCATTCATGGATGGAACAAAAAAGATGTTTCTCAGATGCTTTTTGCAAGACAAGGTTTTAAGCTCTAGATTCTGTTTTCAGTGACTTCAATCTCAATTCAAAGTAGAGCACATTTGGAGCCAAGGAATATTTTCCACTTATTGACATACTCATACTCAATTTCATTCTCTTTATAAGACAGAATCAGAGTATACCAAAAACCTATTTGGATATTTGTAGACACTTATTAAGCAAATACAGCAGCACATGTATTTCCTAGCACACATTTGCATTACCTATTTTTAAATGACCAGCTGATTCTCAAGAAGAAATGAAAAGTCATTCCTAAGCAGCTCAGAAAATTATTAGCTTTTGTAAAACTGGCATTTTACTGCTTAATTTTCAAGTTTTATATGACAGAAAAATATTCATGTCAACATTTAATATTCATATAAAACTTACTTTGTGTTGCATGTATTCTTGATATTCTAAGTTATATTTTTTTAAAAGATCTCTTTTCAGTTCGTCTGTCCGTGGGAATGCAACCTCCTTCAATTTCTTTGAGGTGGGATGGGGAAAAAAATAAATAAGTTTACTTCTCACTTTTTAAAAGAGCCACCTGGAAAACAAACTCAGCTGTAACATAGATTTTTTAAAAATACAAAACAGAAAAAACCCCTGCTCTTCTCACAGGAAAAAAAAAAGCAAAAGAGAAAATACACACTATATCATCAGTTTATGAAACTTCTAGAGTACATTGCTTTCAATAAAAATATTGATTACATTAGCGAAACGTGTGACATGGCTGCTTCTTATCTCAAGGAAAGCTTGGTCCTTTTAGTAGGAGTGTGTTATCTCTGTCTTGTTTAATACGAGTGTGATGACTAATGTTTTTGTTGTGGGCGTAATTCTTAAAAAAATGCTAAGACCAACGTAGAGAGTTTCAGGTAGGATCATTGCCTTTTTCTCTGGAACTTCCCAGTCAGAAATATGTCTGCATATGCCCATTTCCAAGTGAGAAAAAGAAAGGTGTTTTTGAAGAGATAGTTATATCTGTAGCTTTCCGTCACAGACCTGGCAAAACAACATTTCTTACAAAACAGAACCAATACCCAATGCTTTTTACTCATGTCGAGGCTACTACAAAATAATTCAGAGGCTGTAGGCAAGGGAGGAAAAGCGACCATGTGCTTAAATCCTGCTGAGTGCCACAGGAGAAAGCAATGTTAGATGCCCTTTCTCAGTAGGGATGTTCTCCTAGTGGACCACAGTCAGAACTTTGGCATGGATTGTTTTGGTTTTGATAAAACATTCAGTTTAACAGTAGAGAAAGCAAGCAAACATGGGGGCACAGAGCAAGAGACACTCATGGTGCTACTAGCAACTCTCACTGGGCAGTTCCAGCTGTTTTAAGTTCAGTATAAGGCTATACTTAAAATTTATTTAGGATTTACTTTCTAGAGGGGAAAAAAACAAAAGTAAAACTATTTTGTATGGAAGTGGAGGGAAAAAAATCTGGTAAAAACTAAGTAAATACATATATGGTAATAAAGAAAAAAATATACTTTACTCATTTAGCAGAGTAAGCAAATACTGCACAGGCATCAGTAATGCCACACATTTCTCCTTCTGTTTGCAATAGTCAGTTTGGACCATTATCCATTCACATAATTGGGACCAGAATCAAGCTAAGTACTGTCAACATATGCATTTTTAATACGCAAACATTCAGAAATAGATGTACCTGGGCTCCCAACAACCTACCAACTTATTCAGACCATTCTCATTCACGTTTTAGATCAATAATTTAATTTCCAAAATAAAACATGTATGAGTAGTGGAGAAAAGTATCAGAAATTGAAGCTGTGATGGCTGCTATGGGTGCTCTGGGGAAAAAGAAGCTATGGCCTATATGGGCTGGGAAAAATGAAGAGGTTCTGAGTAAAACATTTCATAAAGACCAGGAAACCATAACCCTACCTTAATAATATCTTGTTTTTCTGGTACTGCACATTGGTGATAGTCTCGGTGACTGGGCAGCTTTTCTACAAACAACCTAGAAAATTAAACATGCATGTGTTTAGTAGAAGAATATTCATAATAGCTTGCATGCTGGCAGAAAAATCAGTTTCACATAACTGTTAAACACTGAATTCCAGATGACTTGGACCAAGGTTCTGCACACATGTTTAAATTAACACATTATGGTATTGACTTGTATGGGACACACAGAACAAGGACAGATTATTTTCCACATCTGATATATTTTGGTTTCCATTAGTACTGGGTTAAGTTAAACAAAAAGCAAAGCCACTCTCCACTCTAGTCAGTGCTAGTAAATCCTATTTCTACTCTCTTTATCTATTCTTAGCCAACACGCTGATTCTCCAATGGAAGACATTGTCACTAAAGCAGGTATTTTTACCAGACCAAGCTGCACAGATAAATTATGGCAACACTCAGCTGCAAAGAGTTTGTAATGCACAGCTCCCAACATTTTTTCAGCAATTTGCACAATATTCACCTCCAGAACCTCTTTTTATAGAGATAGATGCATTTGAAAACAGGGGGACTAACAAAGGCTTGGTCTATTTTTCAGAGTATGAAGAAAATAAGGAGGGAGGAAAGATGTTTCCTTTACAAAAATTTTAAAATATGCACTGTAAAAAAACCCCCAAACCTTTCTGAAGTAATAAAACAAACCAATCAATCCCACAGCAAAACTAGCTAGGTTAAAAGTTTAAATTTGCCAGTGATATATTTTTCAGCTGTCTATTTTGAGAGTTGTAATGTAAGCTGGCCAAATTTGTTCTTTTGTGGTAAGGAGAATAATCATGAACATACATTGTAGATTTTGCATTTATTCCTGTAAGAAACAGTAAATTATAGTTAATCCTTTTGGGGGGAAAAAAGTAAAATGAAAGCAATAAAACACTTTTCTCATGCTTTTTTTATTATTGTGCAATACTACCATCCTTAAGATCAGCAGATGCTCATAGGACATAACTGCTAAAGGATTAGAAATCTTATTTAAACATTGCTTTTAAAGTAAAAAATTGTATTTAACCAACATGCTGACATATAAAGAATATGGGGGCAACAGTGTCATGGTATGGCCTGGCAGAGTAAACTCAAACCTCTGTTAGGTTAATTCATGCCTGGCAGTTCACACGTGGATAGGACAACCCCATGAGAAGGTGGCAGGAAGTTTTAACAAATCTCGCGCTCAGTGCAAAATATCTCCAGAGAACAGAGCTGTTCTGCAAGGACATACTAAACACATTTCTCCTTGTGTAAAGGGGTTCTCAGGGCAGCTCTCCATTTCATTCAGTCAGAATTACAAGCTGTAAAGGCTGATGATCTGCTCCCTTACGTGATGAATTTGTTGTAGAAGACGAAGGCGTTCTCCAGGTTGCCCTCCTCCATGTAGACGGCGGCCATGCGCTCCATCTCCACCCCCGAGCGGAAGTACCGCCGCGGGGTGATGTCCTCGTTGATGCTGATGTTGCTGCCCAGCTTGCTCAGGGCACGCACCCGCTCCTCCGGGCTCACTGAGATGTCTGTGTGGTCAGGAATAGCCACCAGCTTTCTCTGGAAATGAACAGTGTCGTTAGCTAAGAGAATATTCCCTTTCACTTTCAGTAAGCGGTCTCAGTCAAGAAGTTCGAGGGAAATATTCAGCTAGTTTTTTTCTGAAAATAGGCATTGGTTTCTCCACCTCTAGCCACAGTTGAAACATTACAACATTTTTCTGAATTGCAAGTAAATTGTGATCAAAAAGAAAAGTGATTTTGTTCCCTCCAAAAACAGCAGCAAAAAGGATAAAATTAGGAAAATACTTGTGGGAAAAAAATTAAGTAAATTACTGTAGAAATTACCAAAGGCAGTATAAAGTGTGTTCTCTTTAAAAGCCCCCACACATGGATTCTACAAGGTTCTGTCTTAAGTTACTGAAATAATTTGATGGATGTCCTGAACACTCAGACTCCTATTACATGATGTATAGCATTTGACTGCTAGAAATAGTTCAGGAAACAAAGAGCAATAAGTTCCTCTGGTGAGTCAACAGTTCACTTCAAAGATTCATTTCCAGTTTTAAATGAGGCAGTTAAAGACTAAGAAGTTCAAAGTAATTACTGAAGAAGAACCATAGCTGCATATTCCGGTCATTACCTTCCTGGTAATTAATAAATAAATAAATGGCTACTGTAAGTTGTTTCTCTCTTACTTTGATGAAATTTTTTACTCTTTCTATTCAAAATGCTCATTTCAACTTCTTAAAACTCTGGTTGCTGGCACTCCATAAATCACACATCCAGAAATATAATAAATTCCAACAAAACTTTCAGGCAGCATGCAGGAAAAGACCCATGGAGCTGAGAGCCACCACTGCTAAATTGCTCTCTTGAAATTTTTCCTAATAGAAAGAGAAGTTGCTCAGCCACTGAAACATTTTTCTGTAATACATACCAATGAGCTGACAGTGAATGGCTGCTCCATGTTGCTGTCTGCCTGCAAACCAAGGAGATTGCTGTTTTCCTCCAAAGTCTCCATCTGACGGAAAGGCCAGTACCAATCCTGAGCTCAGTATTTGCCACCAGATGTCTCAGGGTTAATAGCCCAAGGGAAACTGGAATATAGATATGCTGATTGTGGTTGTGTGCTGGAAAAAATAAGCCATTTAGATTAGAAATACATTCAAATGTCACATAACTTTGCATGCCAGCAGCCACTCATTACTTTGGTGGCACAGTACTTATACATTTAATAATAATTTAAAACTTACCAGGTGTCTAGAATTTAAATTGGGAATACATAAGGGCTTATAGTGCAGTTGTGAACTAGTTGACCTGTACTAAGGTTATTTCAGCAGATTTCAACACAATAAATTATTTTTACAATTTTTATAGCAACTTAAAAACCCACTAACTTTCAAGTATTAAGTGAAAAACACAGTAGTTTGAGGATTTAGAATCTGTGCTTCCTTGAGCATATGTTTACAAACATATTTATAAAAAGTATGAATTTAATTTTCTGCTAAGACTATGAGAAATAAAACTTTATACACAAATTTGTATCAGTAATATAAAGCAGAAAAAATACCTCAAACACCAGGTGTTCCACCTGCACAGCTTGCTGGTTTCAACACTCAAAATACAATCAACTCTGACGAGCCAACAAATAAAAATTCCTCCTTGCACAGCTTTGAACAAGTAAAAAGAAAAAATGTAGATGTTGTGGTCATCAAAAAAATAACCCAAAAGGAAACTAAACCAAAACAAGGAAACCCAACTCTGAGAGAGGAATGAAATACTCAAATTACACAGGAAATGTGAAAATTAAGTTTCTAATGTGTTTTTTCACTTGTGTGCTCAGTCTAAACAGATTTGATCTTGCATGTCATGGGCTCTTCATAGGTTGCAATAAACATACTTATGCTTTGTAAAAGCATAGAGTGGGTTCAGCAAAGATATTTTCTCAGCACACCTCTCTCTAGAGAAAGGCCAGAGGACTCTGGGTTGAAAAAAACAGCCCTAATGTGTTTTTAGATGGCTGTATTTCTCAAGTATTGATTTTTGTGTTTGTCTCTTTCTCATTTTTCTTCCAAAAAGCAATAGCATCTATTAGATCAGTCCTTAATTTTAACCATTAGTGCAATTCATTTTCAAGAAGTTTTGCTAATTAAGGTATTCAAACTGCTTGCATAATTTGTAACCAAAAAAATAAGCAAGGCTTATACATTTGAGAAAACAATCTTAGTTGTGGTTGCAGTGCTAATTAAAATAGTTCTCCAAATTCATTTAATTTTACATACATGGAGCTCTGGTGCAAATGATCACCTTGGCAGGAGAGCCTATTCATTGCCTGCTCACAAACTGTAGAAAGGCCCCATGGGACAACAAAAAGGAAATATTTCTGCTTTAGCCTATTCCAAGAAACTTTCTGCTTTAGGGCTTGTTCCACCTGAAACCCTTCTTCACTGAAGCACTGTAGATGTGGAAGGCTGTGAAAGAGCAGAGCTAAAAGCTTGGCCAGTGCACAGTTTGTGTCAGACTTCTGGCCCTGCAGCCCAGATTCTATGCAGAAATAAAACCTTCAATCAGAGACTCTGCATGCATACACTCTGTGGAACTCAGGAACAAAAACGAAAAACCAACCCAACCAACCAAACAAGAAAGGACTTAAAAAGCATATTTTACAAATACTTATCCATTCACTTATCCATCACTTGTGAATTTTAAATTTTATTTCCCCTAGAAGCATCTGGGACAGCTAAAATACTTGAATGGAAGAATGGATTTGGTCTAAAATATGCATCCAAGTGTAACAAAGTGCAAAATGTTCTAGTCACTCATGTATATAAAAATCATTCAAAAGTAAAGGTGCAGAAATGTATTTCTTTCCAATTTCTTATTACATTTTGCAGCTTCTGGCAAGAAAGCTTTTCTGTAGCAGTTTTTCATTCTGCTTTCAAGGCTTTCTCCCTTAGGAGTCCTTCTGCAAAGCCTGGAGAGGAAATGGACATTAAGGACAATGCTCATGAGATGGTTCCCACTGAAGACATGGAATATGGATCAAATGCTTCTTTCAGCTGTTACCACTCCTTGGAGACCTTTCAGTCCAGCTGGTAGGCATGTGCAAAGAACTTATTGCAAGTGGCAAATACAGGAGCCACTAATTAGGGGTTTGGGTGTTTTCTTGGGGCCAGCACTCCCAAAGAGGTCTTTATTAAAGAACCCTGTGGTATTCCCCCACCAAAATCTCTTTGGAAATGCCACAGGAAGACATCATGGAACCCTTTACTTGCAAATATTTCTCAACTTGACTGGCTCTAAGAGTATTAAAATTATAAACACAATTCAGTCTTCTTTAAATCTAAAGAAGCATTTGCTATAATTATTTTTTAAGTGTAATACCAGGTATTTTAAACAGGAGACATCTGGTAATAGCAGAAACTCGCACTTCCTCAAAATTGTGTCAGAGCCTGGAAAGGATGAAGAAGCTCTGAAACAGACATAAGACATGCCACAGTGCAAGAGCTTAGCAGAAGAATGTCTGCAAATAAAAGAAGAAACTGTCTTTGTAAATTTAGTTTCAGGAACAGACTAAAAATGAGACACTGTAAATAAAGAAGAAATACTAAGATGAATTTGTATCCCTTTTACAAAAATGTTATATAAGATTCAAATACATTCACTATTAGAGATGGCAGTGTAACTTCAGAAAAAAATTCCTATAAAGATTGTGGGCTGACTTATGACTGCACTCCAATAAATTATCCTTAACGTGTGGACGCACGGGCAGAATTCTGAATGATTAAAATGCAGAGAGTTAAGCTTTACTGCAAACAGCACCAGAGGCATGTGTGCCAGGTGCCTGGAATGCCTGTGTGCATAATGCTCCGCATAATGCTCAGCTCCACAGTCACCTTCAGCTGCTCCAAGGGCACGGCACTGCCAGGGGCTCCCCTCACCCTCACCATCCTTCTCTGCGCTCTCACTTTGCTGCCTCCACGGACTTCAAGGCACATTGTAGCTGATCCAAATTAGAATTAAATGAACTTTTACTTCATTCTCCAAATCAAATGCAAAGGAGCAGGCAGAACCATGAAGCCAGCAAAGCAGAGAGGTTTGTCACTTTCTGAGGCACTGCTGTCCTAGATTGATATGAGCTGGCTTTGAAAGGGCACCCTAAGAGTTTGTATGGTTCCTACAAAAATTGCCCAGTTGTGGCAAGTGACTGTTTTCCAGAAGTATATTTCACTTTACAAGAGTAAAGATAAATTCAAATACCAAATCTCTCTGTATAGCTGAAACTAATTATACTCAAACATACAAAATACTTATGCTAATACAGTGAACTACACTCCAACCTCAACCACAGGGGATAAATACCAATGCTAGCTTGGAGTTGTCTATTATACTCTAAAGTGCTCAAAACTCCAAGAGTGAAGGTGCATTTTTCTACTTCACTATTTCAGGCATTCCAGTTAACTTAGATGGACTTAGGTAATGTTTGTTTGAGGAGAAATGCCAGGACAATTAGCATTCAAATTAAGTTTTTTTCTAATTATGAGTTTTCTGATAGTTATTACCAAATAATAAGAATAATCTAACATCTATTCAATGGTTAAGAAATTTTTCTTGATTTCATTGGGAATAGCACTTCTCATCAAATCCCATTTACTCCTCAAAGAGCATTTGTTTTCCCCATATGTCCCATCTTATTATTGTATGTATTATTCCTTGACAAATCCAGGTTTATTAAATCAAAGCCATTCAGCCACAAGAAAACAGAGCAAACTGAGAAAAACAGCATTTTAAATGGCATTGAAAGTCCTTCTGTTCAGGCTAACAAGCATGGTACCAAGTAGCAGGGAAATGAAAAGCAGAGAGAGTAATTTTAAGTGAAAGTACATGCCAAGAGTAGTACATGAAGACACAATAAGCACATCAAGCACCTCAGGAGCAGGCTCATGAGACAGAGGTGGTGTGAGAAGACCTGGGGAATGCATGCACAAACCAACCCTTCTGAGAGCTGCAATATCCCAATTCACCACAAATTCCCCAACACCCTCAGGTTTGCTGCACGCTGGCACACCAGGCATGGCCAGGCTGGCTGGAGGTGGCCAAGAGAGGCACCCTGGCTGTGCTCAGAGCCCGACGGGCCCATGCCCTGCTGGCTTTCCCTGTGACACACGTGTGGGGTGGCACTGAGAGGTGACACACATGGCTGCACAGCTGCGGTGCTGCAGGAGCTGCACGGGTGGTGTTTGCAATGCCTGCAGCACAGCACTGCAGCCAGGGCACAGCCTGGCACAAGGAGCAGGTCTCTGTGCCTTGCTGGGACAGACCCTGAATGTCCTTCCCTGATGGAGCCTGGCTCTGGGAGGTGACTGTCCTGGCCAAGGCAGGGACACCAAGCAGGACCATGCTCTGCCCAAGGACGCCCACAGGGACTGTGGCACCCCAGCGGGAGCTGTGCTGCTCCAGCTTCTCAGAGAGGACACAAAGACGAGCTCAGGGCGTCAGGACCTCCCAGAAACTGACTGCAGAGTGCTAGCACTGAATTTCAGCCCCTTGCTGTCACCTGGAGGCTGCTTTCCCCTCTTCAGTTCCTCAGAAGAGGCTGAATGAGCAATGTTGCTGGTTCTTGAGAGGTTCCGAGAAACGTTGAATGAGCTTTTGGATTTTTAAACAAGTAACTGAGTAACTTCATAAATATTATTAAAATATATATAATTTTCTCTTTGTAACATTAGTTACTTTGAAACATTTGAAACTTGAAACTTTGAAAGAGTTTCTTCTTTGTAACACATTTTTAAATTTCAAGGCACTTAATCATAACAAGGACTGCACTGCTGCCAGCAACATTTATCAATATTTTGATTATTTATCTTCCAGAAAAATCTTTGTTAAAGAGATCACTGGCAAAGTTTTCCAAAGCACTTTCTTCATTCAAAGATTATGTTAAAAATAATCAATGCAATGATTTATTCTCTGAATATTTTCAATGGTTGATTATTCCAGAAATACTCATCCTTTTTTTTGATATTTTTGTGGAATGTAAAGCCTAGATGAGGTTCCCACCAAAATCATTCACTTCACTCCATTGGGATCAGGATTCTTAAAGTATATCTGGAAATATTTGCTAATATAGCAGCTGAAATGTAGTATAGTTCTTTTTGAAGCTACTCTTGAGAGAACTGTTCTGCAGCCATCCCATGGCAAGAAAAAGCTTACTTTAATATTGCCATGAGAAGTTAGCACAATCATACTTCATGTTACTATACTAGGAAGTGTGATGAGTACAGAATCCTAGAATAAAGATGCATGTCAAACCATAAGGAGGTCAGTCCTCATTAAAATAGCCAAATTAGCAAGTGCAAATAACACCTTTCAATTACCCATAATGGAACAAAGTTGTCTCAGCAAACTTTAAATAGGTCACACCAGCGATTGCCAGATGAAGGTAAAGGACCATTTCATGCCAGTAAGTCACGCATGAAGCAGATACTTAAAATTCTGTACTTGGAAGTGGATACTCAAGTGGATTTGGTGAAAAACAGGTTAGAAATACAGGCACCTATCTCATTCAGCTCTTTTTGAAATTCCAGGCCGTGTATTGGCACAGCACATGATTATTTATATACACACACGCTTAAGTTTGATATATAAATATGCTAAATACCAGCCTAAATAGCAAACTGCCTTCTGTTGGTTCTCTCCAAAAAGAAACAGCATATTCATCTGTCAACATGCTTTTTGTAACAAGCATTCATCATCACAGCAAGTGATTCAGCTGGTATAGTAAGCAGTCTCTTCTGGGGAAAAAACCCAACAAAGCACTGAATGTCATGGCAAGAAGATCCTCTTGTGCAGAAGAAACACCCAATCCACAAAACTCAACAGAATGGCCTTTCAAAGAAAGGAATCACAGCGAGGAGCCAGTTCCTGAAAACCGTGTGCCTTTCAATGGAAAAGTTGCTCTTTACAGCTACTACTGAGCTCAACTCTAAAAAAGCCCATCTCAGTAACAGCTCAAAGTCTGACAGTGCTCCATTTAAACAGCTCCATTTAAACAGCAGCTCCAAGACCACCTCCCAAGCTCCACTAACTGCCAGGAGCAGCTGCTGAGCTATACAACCATCTCTCCTAGAAATGGGTCAAGAACATTTCCTCTTTCTCACCGGTGGAGGAGCAGTGCCTCATGTCCCAGCACACTGCCCAGAGCCCCTCTGTGTCACTGGGATTGACAGCAGCACCTTCACCTGCCTGGGCACTGAGAGAGAGAAATCATGGGCAGGGGAGATCCTCCATGCACAGGTCTGCCAAACCCAAGCCTTGATTATTTGCTTAGGCCACTATGCTGTATCTTGGATCACAAAACTGAGCTTTATTTTAATCTAAAAAAAGAATGGGTGACACAATGGTCTGTTTTCCCACTTCAAAATGAAGTTTGAATTAATTGTCTGAAGACTGTTATAGTTCTGCAAATATTTGGACTACTGCAATTAGCCGTTGTAGTTTCTTGAATATCATTGACTACCTGTTTTCTAAGGACAGCATTTCTCTTGGCACACATACAAACATTACTGTATCAAGAAGCTGTGTTAATAAAATTACATTGCTACTGGCTCTAAGACTCTGACAAACCACTACAATATGCAGATAATGTCCAACATGGCACGTGCAAGAACCTGACTTCTGCTCCCTACAGAGTATGTGAATGCAGAGCCTACAGGCTTCTCTCTCCTATTGCTTCACAGCACAGAGGAGACCTCTGACTGGCAATTATTTTCTCATTCATTTTTATTCAGGTTGTTTTGAAATCAACATCTAGTATGGTTGTGCTACTACAACATAATCCAATGCATTTGATCTGTACAGATAGATGACAGTTTGCTTCCAGATTTATTAACAAGCTCTGTCTATAACGATACTAGTGACTTTTAGGAGAATATCCTCAAAAAAGGACTGGAAATATTAAACATTCAAACATGCATTTGTGAACTGACAGTTCATGCTCTTGTGAATTCTTGTGTTAAAAGGAAACACAATCCCTCCTCCCCCCTCCTTTCTTTAGTGACACCATTCAGTTTTAGCAAAAAAGCATTTTTAACATAATGGATAAATATCAACCATGGTAGAATGTCTTGGATTACAAGCAAAATCTTTCTTAGGCAGTCAGTGAAATATTACTTATGCAACAGAGAACAGCATCTTTCCAGCGACCCACTAAAAGGATGTTCTAGACATGATGTAGAAAAACAGTGCCATTTCCTTCCTTTGGGAAATCCACAACAATCTCCCAAGAAAATTGCACCAGGGCACAGTAACCCAGAAGAGGACAGAAATACAAGAAAGAACTGCTTTTATACAATTTGTTCTTTGATGATTCAACTCAAATACTGAAAAAAGGAGATACTTGCAATCCATTACATCAGTAATAAAACTAACTTCCACCATGAAGACAAGAAGCTGTGTTGCTAAGGGAAACAAATGAGAGGTTAAAATCAGCACAGAGGCCTGCAACTCCATACACTTCTGAGAAACAAAGAAAGCAGGATTCCTTGCAAAGCCTTAGGTGTCACAGATTTTTTTTTATCTGTATCCCTATTTTTCTCAGGGACAAGGTCCCACTAGGCTAGAGGGGTTAAGAATCTTCTTGTTCTTCCTATGATATGCAATGACTTTTTTTTGGCAAAATATATCCTACCTAAATCTAGAACACTTGAGACTCCATAGCATCTAACAAGGACACTTGTTGATTGAGTGAGTAACTGGTTGCAGCAATCAATTTATGTTTCTATCAGATGTCAAATTTTTATGCTGTCTTACTTTCTACAGTACAAAATATAGGGGACAAACTAAAAGTGAGGCAAATTTATTTGACATTTCTGACATACAAATTCACAGTTTATTTGAAGCCTATTAAAGTGCCTATAAAGAATGAAACTTGTTTTTTTGGCCTCGCATCTAGAAAAAAAATAATTTGAGGCATTGGTTCAAAGGATTCTGACTGTTTTGTACACAAATGGTTAAGTAAGGAAAGGTAAGAAATGGATAGTGAGATTACCTACAGGATGAAGTGTGATCAATCAGTATGAACAACTACCATTTTATCTAGCATGACTCTGCTGTACAATGTTTATATTAAAATAACACAGTTAGTTGATTTCATAAGGGAATCTTTGACCTTCTCCCCTATTCCAGATGATTCAGCATGTAACATGCTATGAGCAAAAAACAACCCAGGAAAAACAAGAGGAATGCCTGGTTCTATGAGAAGATTTCTGTGAGCTTTAGACTGCTTGTTCTACTTGGACAGTTACAATATTTCATTTCTCTTACTTAGGTTTCTAAGATTGACAGTGTTAAGCACATGTTTTATAGCAGCACTGGCTGTAACACACTCAGCTCACAGGGCTGCTTGACAGTCAGCTGAATGATCCAGAATACCAAAGCCGAGCATGATGACTTTTGGTTGACATTTTGTACCCCTGCAGGCCAACAGCTTCATCCCAGTGCAGCTACCCACAGTCTGCCTTTGAGCCTTTCAAATTATCTGCTTGCCCCCTCAGGATGAGCCCATTGATCTTTGCAGCATACACAAGCTCCTTTTTATACCAACATCAAGCATTAGATGTCTCTGACGGCTTTTTGACAGCAGTGCAGAGATGCTGACGGGTCAGAGATGCTAAAAGCTGCTCCTACGCTGATTGTGTGCAGGGCCCACAGCTTCCATAACGCAATTCCCTGTGTTGTGAGCTGAATGTGACTCATCCAGAGCTGCCAGTAGGAAGTGGTAGGCAGAGGGTTGTGTCTGAGGAGCTGCCTGACTCACAGCACTTCTGAGAGGCACCAGCACCTGAGCAAGATTGACAAGCCTGGGTTTTTATCATAGGAATTTCTTTGCAACAACAGCACTAAGCCGCTGCACAAGGATTGTTCAGGTACTGCACAAGAAAGATAATTTTCTCTCATGGATTGATACTTCTATTTATAATGGAAAGCATGACCAGAAAATATGTTTCCTGGCATAACAATCTAAATGTTCTAATTTTATCAAAATTGTATAGACAAAGACTTCCTTTACGTGGCAGCAGACTAATTTTCAGAACAAAAATTGGAAGTGTAACATTTGGTGCAGAAATAAAATTTCAGGAGCCTGATAAAACCAGAAAAAAGCATTATTCATACATGTCCAGCAAACAGAGACCAAAAACTTAGTTTTATACGGTATTTGTTCAGTGCCTTCATGCACAAGTCACCTTGCCATTCCCTCAGCAGCTGAAGAATTTACAACATCCCTCACCTTGAGCTATACTGTTCCTGATCCTGGTGATTAACTTCCAGGAAAAGCCTTAAGGCCTAACCTTCAGCAGGTTTAATGCACATAAAGAAAACCACACAATAAATGCCTTCACAGCATCTGCAGAGCAATATCAAGTAATACAAATGACTGCAGGATTGATCAAAACAATTTTTAAACATAATGCTACAAAATACCTCCTTGTACTTACAGCCATTTAAAATACTGTACACACACACCCACACAAGGACCCCCAACCATGAAACTGGTACCTACAGAATTATACAGAATTTGGGATGAATGCTTCCTGCATTCCTACCGTATCCTGTGATCTATGAAACTCCTGACTTGTAAACACAGGCGTTTAGTTTAGTTATCCAAACATTTAGCACTTTGACATGCAATATACCAGCTGCAATGGATTTAGTACATGAGAAAACTCATCTGTTTCAGAGTAAATTGCCTGACCAGCACCCACAACAACAAACCTGGGCTCCATTCTCCTGGGAATATTCAATGAAGTTCTGGGTCTATATCCTATTTTCTACATCTTGGTTGTCCAAGGCAAGTCATCAATATATGCTACCTACAGTTTTGGATAGTAATCCATTTAAGCCTGCAACGAGGAGAAACCTCACTTCTGTGCAGACAGAACTTTCTCAAAGCTGGTCTTCACCTGGGGAATGAATGTCCTGAGAAGTACAGTGACTCCCAGATCTCATAATCTCACTACTTCCCACTGTCTGTAGAAGGTGGGGGGTTTCCTGCACATGACTTCTCAGAGCATTCAGAACCACGTGCATATTAAACACAAATCATTCCACATCAAGAGGAATTCCCCCAGAAGAGACTTTTTGGCACCTTCCTGAAACCGGACAGCATGTGCAAGAGTGAGACACATTCCTCAGGGCACTTCAGAAGGACACCTGAGATCCTACAGAGGTCAAAAGCAGGCAGGTACAAAACCAAGTACATGAACAGAAAAAGCTCATCACAGAGTTAGAGATGCTCAGCAACCACAATTTCTACTGGTTTAGATTCTTTCACTTTCTATTCCGATGACCACCTTTCACACATATACGGAAATAATTTAAAGCCAGAACACTGTTTGATTTGCCCCTGGCACACGGCACCATTCCGGACTCCCACCACAGCGCCCCAGCCCTTTGCGAGCCGCAGCGGAGTCAGCAGGACCGGCCGGCCGGGCTCGCTGCCCGCCGCCCCCCGCACGGGCACAGCCCCTCACAGCCCCGCGCTGCCCCCGCCGCTCCCGCTCCCCGCTCCCGCCGGGTCCCGCCCTGCCCGGAGGGAGGAGGGCTGTCCCGAGAGGCCTCCGCGGCTCCGCACCTGACACCGGGGCGGGGACGGGCGCTGCCCGGGCCGAGGAGCGGATGGAGCGGGCACCGGCCCTTGTCGCTGCCGCGGTCCCGGAAGGGGTCCCGGCCCTTGTGCCTGTGCCCGCAGGGGCCGCTGGCGCAGGCGGCGGGATGGATGGATGGATGGAGGCGGAGGCAGCGCCTCGCCTGGCCGCTCCGCTCCCGCAGGGGCAGGGCGGTGCTGCTTACCGGCTCTCGCATCCGCGCTGGCGGCGGCTGCCGCGGACAAAGCGCGGGCCGGGAGGAGGCAGGAGCGCCGGGCGGCCTGGGCCTCCTCTGCTTCCCTCTCTCTTCTTCTTCCTCCTCCCGCCTCGCCTCGCCCCGCCGGGCCGCGGAGCCGCGGGCGCCCTGCGCGGGAGCGGCCCCGGGCGGGCGGGCAGGTGGCGGCGGGCACCGAGCGCCCTGCGCCGCCGCAGCCGGGCCCGTCACCGTGCGGGGCGAAGGGAGGAGCCTGCGCCGCGCCGGGAGAGCGAGCGAGCCGTGCCGCTGCGGGCTGCGGCCGGCGCCCGCCGCTGCTGGTGCTGGTGCCGGGGCTGAGGGCAGCGGGAGCGCCCTGCGGGGGCGGAGGGTGCTGGGGGCAGCACGGTCCGTGCGCACCTGGGATGGGCCCCCTCCGCGTTCCCCACGGTACCGGGGCCAGCCCGGCCATCACTGAGTCAGTCTTTATGTGCTTGGATACCGGAGGGCGTGCACACCTCACCTGGGCTCTCCTGAACTTTGGGAAGGGCTAACTCAGGGGAAACAATGTTTTGGAGGAAGCTGTGGGTAAGGAGGAAAAGGACGAAAGATAACTGAAGGTGTGGTTGGCAGTGTGAGGCTGCTGTACCTGGGAAGAGGCATGCTAGACAGGAGGGCCTTCCTCGGAAGCAGAGGAGGTAGGCTGGGTTTCTGAGGAGGCAGGGCACTGCTGTGGGCTGGCCTAGATCTCTGCTGTTCTCTGAATGTTCAGCCAATGCAGCAGATAGTCACTCCATGATAAGTTTGGCTGACCTTTATGCTGTCTTTTTGCTGAACTTGCTCGGCAGGTATTGATCATATTGATGCCTTTCCTGGACCCCAAACCTGAACATGGAAGTCTAGACATGATCTAAGATATTTGTATTTAGCTCATCCTGCACCCCCAAACACAGTAATGTATTTTTCCTTCCCTCGTTTCATTGTGTGTGAGGCTGTTCTGGCTGCTTGGCTTCCCAGCTTTGAGGTACCGCTCTTGGTGCTGGTGGCTGTGGAGTGACACCACAGGTCTTGGCCCTGGCTTTAAGAACAGGAGGGACTGATTTGGGCAAGCAACACAAATCCAGTATGTTCAAGCACCTACCTTGTTATCTTGGATTTGGCTGAGAGAGTTATGAAATAGAGGCTCCAGTCTATGCCATGGAGGGTTTTCTGTGGACTGTTGAGTTAATCCTGTCCTGAAGCAGTCATGGGAAGGACACTTTCAGTGCTGCAAGGATTTTGTCTGGATGGCTGATGGTTTTCCAAGGGGAAGTGTAAAGAATGGCTATTGCTATTGTCCAGACCCTGTGCATTCCAGGACTGCATTTCTGATGGATGGCAATAAGAAGATAAAGTTTGCTTGCAGGAAACTTTGGTAAATGGAGAGCCTATCAGATGGGTATTAGGAAATTGTCTTCTGTTAGAAAAACTGGCAATCCTTTCTAAAACTCAGTTATGTCAGAGGTGCAATTAGGCTGAACATTAGTCTGATTTAGGTGTTCAGTATTGAAGATAGTGCCCAAAGTCTTCTTTCCCAAGAACTGTTGGTCACTGACCTGAATGTTTCCCTGTAACCTCTTGCAGGATGTGTCTGTGGCTGGTTCTTCTTCTACAGCATGGGAAGATGCTCTAGAAAAGATTGAACTTGATGTCCTGGGGCAGCCCTTGGTGGCTGCTTCCAGAATGAGTAAACTTAATATCAGACCAGTGTCCACACAACCAGATTTTGAAGAACTGCTAGATCCACCTTCCTGAACCTCCCTGAAAAGGCAATGTGTCCCCACTGCTTTCTTCAGCTGGGCAGAGCCATGTGCTCTGGTTCATGGAGAATCAGTTCTAGTTCATGGTTAGCCCTGACTCTGCAGCAGGGAAAAGGCACCACTGGTGAGGGTGGAAGGAGTTCAGTGCTGTGATTCTGGTTTTTCCCTCCCTTCCATTGTTCATTTTGTGCAGAGTCACTGCCAGGTTCATCCCATGCACCGTGTCTGAATGCTGGGTGGTGCTGCAGAAGTGTGAATGAGAGCAGAGCTGGAGGGCTTTGCTGCCAGATCCTCCACAGAGGCCCTCTCCTCCTCTTTGCCTGAGCTGGGATTGTGGCTCCTACTCCCCCTCCCTGCAGAGCTGAGCCCATATCTGTGTGGGGTGCAGTGTTTGCTGTGCCAGTGCTGGCTCTGCCCTGCTGCTTCATGGGGGTGGCCAGGTCTGCTGTGAGTTCCCTGGGCAGCCAGGACACTGGGATGTATAAATGATGTGGTGTGGGCAAGAGAAGCCGCTCTGTGTCTTGGACTGCAAACATCCCCAGAAGTTGAGAACTCAGTTCCCAGTGGTACCACAGGTTGCTAGAGGAGGTGTGTTGTTTGCATATGTTTGCGTGAAGGTGGCCTTTGCATGTGTTTTCTGTATTACGAGAGACAAACATGTTTTGTTTATATTGCTCTCTATCTCCCAGATTATTATCAAATGGTTTCACCTTCCACAAGTCTTAACTGAGGAATCTAGGCTTATGCCCCCACCCAGAAACACCCACAGAGCCTGAGCTCTCCTGGCTTGCCCTGCCATGATGAAGCCTTTGGTGTGATCTGTAGCCCCTGGGATAGTCCCATAGGCAAGCGCTGACATGGTGAGATGAGGACCTAGAAGAACTTAAACTTGTTTACTGATGGTGGCAGGAATATTTATTGAGATGGGTGCAGTTGTCTTTTATGTACAGTTTGCTGCTGTTGCCCAGTTATGAGCATGAAGACAATTGTGCTCTTTGTAGTAAGAGGGGTAACAAACCATTAGTTAGTGTAAGGATAAGAGAATATCTGCATCTGTCCAACAGTCAGGTGCTTTTTCTCTGACACATATGTTGTGGTGTTGGATTTCTTGCATTTGGACCAGTATAGCCAACTCCTTTCTGCTTAAATGCCAGGGTAGTTTTACAAGTGAAAACCTTTTGGGTCTTCCTTGCTGCTGTTGGTATTGTGAAGAGAGGAAAACAGGTGAAACACTATCAGGATGACAGATGACTCAACTTCAGCAAAGTTCAGTAAACAGAGAGATTATCTCCCATTTTGGGTTTTCAGGGGAAATCACCTTTGTCTCAAGTGAAACATGTAGTGCAGATCAACAAGGAAACAGAAAATGACATCTTTGCAAAATCAGTCATATAAAACCAGAAATCTTCCAAAGTAAGTGATCCCTGAAGTTTTCTATGTAATGTATTTGTAATTTCAGTGGTCATTCACATGTACCCCAGCTTTTTCTGCAATCACCAAAATAGTGTAACACCAAAGGAAGTAGTGTAAAAATATTGCAAACCAATTGTCAGTAGTTTGTAAACCTCTATACCTATACCAATAATCAACTGCTAAATAGAAATATCTAGGGTTTCTACTGCCTTCTGTGGCACTCTAAGCATATTTCTTCAGTAGTTCAATGATTTTCAGATACATTTTCTCAGTTGCATCAAGGCCCCAGAGGAAATCAAGATGTCCCCATGTAGGAAAATGCTCATGGTAAATGAGATTAGTGATCCGAGGAAGAAGCCTTGCTATGTCTGTTGGGTCTGCAAATTTGTCCTGTCCACCACTCCAAACAGCAGTTGGCACCTTTATCTCCTCTATCTTGTACTCAGGAGGAGCAGTCTGTAAGAGAGGGAGGAGACCTGAGTGAGTGCTGGGTATCAAAGTTGTGTTTAGAGAAAGGTTTCTATGCAAGCACCTCTTTTGGTCTTTTGCTTCTGCACTGACTACAGTAAAACCATGAGGATGAAGGTCTTACTGGTCATTGCCCTAACCCCATTCCCTGCCTTGCTTGTCATCGCAGAAGAAGTTAAAGGAACACAGAAGATTAAAATGGAGATCCTTTGAGATCTGAACCAAAAGCCTTAGTGCAGGATGGTTATTTGTCAGTGTGGTAAGGGACTGTGCACAAGATGTTTTGAAACTTACCCTTATGAAAGGACAGTTCAGTTATCTTTCTTCTTGACTGCTTTTTTGGGCCATTTCCCAACCTTCCACAGTATTGGGAATAAAACATTGCCCATTTCAGAGTTTAAACTTCAGGTGTTTAAAGACTCTATGTGTGTATGCAAGGTGTCTGAGAAGGAAGGTGTCCTTGGAATCTTTATCCACTTGCAAAATAATGTGCCACCCATGAACTAACCTGCCCTGACTCACAAAGCAAACCTCAAAAAATAATCAGATGAGTTATAAGTGTTGCAAGAGGAGCAGAGCATTTTCAGGTGTTGACTACACAGTAAATAAAGCTCCTACAGACCAAATTTTGCCTGTTTCCATTTTTCCATACAGGATACTTTAGTTCTCCCCAGCAGTCTACATTGTGCCATACTGAACCGTCCCTTAAGTTTAATTTTTATAGCAAGTAGCCTCTGAAAACCCAGATATGCATTTCCACTTATTTTTTTTCATCCCCATTTTAGTGTTTAACTGAAACGTAGACTTTGAGGATTTCTGGGGAAGAGCTCTGTACTCATCCAGTCTAGGACCTGGATGTGACTCTTGGCCTTTTGGGAATGGCAGGTAAGCTGACATGTTGTTGGACACATCCCTGCATCAGTAGGGGAGGCTGCAAAAATCTGTATATGCCATGTTTGTGAATCGACTCTGACAATTATGACTATTAGATTCAGGTGAAGTTTTGCCTAAGACCACCCTTCCTTTCTTTTTGTAGCATTCAAGGCACTAGTATATGAATTTTTCTATTTTTAGTTTTTCCAGGACCCAAGGATGAGTTCTCAGAAAAATGAATTGCCTTACCTGGTTGTATTTCTTCATGTTTTCCTTACAGCCGTAGTCATAAGCTTGAAATTGGTCTGCATGTTTTATCTGTTAATATTGCAACAAGGACAGATAAAATGAAAATGTTAAGAGACAGAGTGCAGGAGTTGTTTTCTAGCATATGATTGAACTCAAGTCTGAGGCAGTAGACAGGATCCCAGGGATACTGAGGAGGGATTGTGGGATAAGTGGTTTCACCACCTTTCCCCTTGCTAACATTTTCTCCTAATCTTCAACCACCACCCTCGTTATGTTTAAATATTAAAGCCTTGCTGCCCTATCTTAATTGGCTCTTTACTTAGGTAATTTAGCTCTTTTTGATGCAGGAGCATGTCAGGGCTCTCACTAGCCTGGGATACCTCCTCAAAATCCTCAACTTTTGTGTCCCTGCTTGGTCTGGTCTGCTCACAGTAGTGGCAGTGATATCAGAGGTTGTGAACTGCATACAAGTATATTGGGAGCAGAGTGTGATCGCCTTAGCACTAAACTCTTGTCTTCTGTGATGTGTCTAAAAGGAATATCAAAACAATAAAGGGTTAACCTGTCTTACTAATGTGTGTGCATTTTTTTTTTTAATCTAAACCTCTAAATAACTGAGGATATTATAGAAATCTGCTAGCTCATGTCTGATTTCTGGCTCTGAGTGCTGGGTTTCTGTTCTGGATACCAGGAATTTTAGGCAGGGGATGTACAGCAGCACACATGTATTTAAGGGCTTCTTTAAGTGGCACAGTGCACTTAGGGTTCACTTAAGTTCACACCTCATAGAGTGATGTGTCTCTGAGCCAATGCCATCTTGCCCTGGTCTGATTTGGAGCCTAGGCAGAACAAGCTTGGGTCTGAAAGTGGCATGAGGTACCAGCAGAAGAGGCAGTTCCCCATTTTGCCATTGTGCCAGCAGAAGCATTTGTGCAGTAAACTGGCTTTTGGAGGTAGTCAAGGCTGCAATTAACCCTCTGGGAGACAAGCTTTAACCTAAATCCCTTCTTTGTCTGGTTCATCCCTGACTGTAAAGTTCTCACTTATCCCACCTGCCAAGTGCCTAGGCTGTGCTTGTGTTCACTTCTGCAGCTTTCTGCATACATCTCCATAAATAAGGATGAAGGCTGGAAACCATTAGAGCCGAGAGAGGTGTGATGTGCCCTGGGGAAATCTCAGAGCCTGTTGCCCAAGGGGAAGTTTGGGGAATGATCTGGTGAGCCATGGGAAACAGGGCTCACTCTGTGACAGGTGAGAAGATGTGATGGGCAGATTTCCAGATCTGTCACCTCTGGATTCCCCTGTTGGCTCCCAGTCGCATAGAAAGCCATCCTAAGAGTGTTTATGTGTCAGTGCAGTTATACCTGCTGCCAGTGAATAACGTTCTGTACCGATGTTCCAGCTGGGTAGTGTCCCGAGTATGAATCTGTTCGACTCTGCAGACAAAGCAGAAGTGTTGTGAAGGCAGAGATCCAGTGCTGTGACAGAATAAAGCTGTGAAGGCTCTGAGAAACATACTGCTGCATCCCCCATTTTTATAGGATATTCTTCAGATATAAAAATGGAAGTTGAGGAAAGGTTCACAAACATGCTAGTTTACATAGGAATGAATACATGGGATTTTATATCTTTGGGATAATATTTTCAACATTCTCAACACAGAGAAAACATCATTTGAGAAGCATCTATGGCCTTTGTATTCCCAGTTTGTATGATTTGTATAATGCTTTTAAATAGTGCTGTGCATAATCAGTAGAGAAAGATTATCTACAGTTCTCTTTGGCATAATGAAGCTTTTAATAGGGACACTTGTTAAATAGTCTGAGAGATGAAAGGTGACTGGAGAACAGACATGTGAAAGGTCTGTAAGAACAAGAGGTAGCAGCCAGAGTAAAGGAATGCAATCTTTCTGCTGGGAGAAGCGTGGAGAAAAGTTTTGAGTTTTGGCTGGAAATATTTCAATGTGTAGCAAACAAAAAAACCCCATTTCTTCTGTTCAGAGGAGTCAGATGTCTTGTTGTTTAGGAAAGAAAATATATGAATTGTGCGAAAGAGAAAAACATCTTTGTCCAGTTGCCCTTCAAAGCTTCTTCAAATTTACCTGTATGAAGCTTTTCTGGGAGGTGCTTACCATGTTCATATTTTGTATCCTGCCCCCGGTCAGGTAGCAGAAGATACTGCCACAGACTTTCCCCTGACATGCGCAGAACCGTGTTACCGGTCCTTTCATCAGCTCATTGTATTGAAGAACTCCTTTGCAGCCAAGCAGTAACTGAGGGGAGGAAAAGTGCAAAACTTTTCTTAGCTGTTGCAAGATTATTTAAAGAAGAAAACTCCCTCTTCTTTAAATTACTCTCCTTTAATAGCCTTGCCTCTTCACAAGGGGCAAGATTGCTGAAACTTCTTGCCATCCCACTATCCTTTACAGAGTGTTCTTCCCAAGGGCAGAGCACATGTTCCTCCTTCTCCTTGGCACAAATGCTGGAGGTCACTATCCATCTGTTTTTAGTGCACTGATCTCAGTGAGAAAGGAAGCTGGCTACACTGATGGCTGCAGAATATAGGAAGTCCCTTTTTGCCCTAATACCTTTTCCTGGCAGGTGCAAACTGTACTGTGAGTACCACTCCTAAGTAAAGAGGGATCAGATAAATGAGAAGGGTGTAGAGCTGGATGCTCTATAGTCGTATCATGAGTGCAGCTTGGACAGAAAGAGGATGTGCATCTGTGGTTTGATATAAAGCATAGCATGCATGATTTCCACCTTCCCAGCGAATTCTATTAAGTTGACACCTGCTGTTTAAGTTTAATTTATCACTTTAAAAGTAAATACTTTACAAGCATAAATGATCTGCATGTCTGATAAAATTAAGATGTGAAATATTTTACTTGTGGTTTTTATTAGTGCTTAAGGCTAGATTTAGTAGACTATATTAGATTGCTTTTGTTCTGGTATTTGAAAGTTTTCTTCAGAAATACTTGACTTAAATAAATAATGGTGAAAGTATACCTGCTACCTTAAAGAAATTGCAAAAGCCATACCATGTGAAACCTTGCAGTTCAGCTCCTTGGAAAGTCTGAAGTCTGATACACTGAATTCAATTCTAACTGAGCACCCCATAAAAGTTCAGGTTGAGTGAGTCCAGTAGAGACAAAGCAGACAATTATGTCTTTCTCTTAAGAAGGAGAAATTCCTTACCCTGATCAGTGGCTGGGGAAGCAGTGCAATTGTTATCATAGGACTGGTAGAATGTGTGATGGTGGTCACTGGTGCCAAAGCAAAGAATGCTTTAATCTTCTGAGGCATGTCAGGATAAGTAGAAAGTGCTATGAAGCCTGCAAGCTCAGAAAAAGAAGTCAAGTTGATGAAGAGATGTCCACAGACCAAATAAATAAAAAAGCAGTAGGCAGCAAAGGAATGAGACTAGGTTAGCATCCCACTGGCTGTTTTCTATTTCTGTGCTGCAGACCTAAGGAGAATGTTTGATTCTTGCTTAAAACCTTTATTTGGAGCCTAAGCCTAGCCTTATCTTTATTTGGAAGATAAATTTCATTCTAAGGATAGAAGCTCATTAGAGCATGTCCTGATACTGCTTTTGTCAGAACTGATAACTTTGTGTTAAGGCCGGTTTTGGTTGAAAAGGTATATATTAATTAGATTTTTAAAATTCAAATTCTCTCTAAAGTTCCCTAAATTCAAAATAAAAAGTTTTTCAGCTTGTAGTCTCTAAAAGACTGTACATGCATATGCTGCCATTCAGCAATACAAAAATTATCCGAAGACTGAGAATAAATTTTTTCCTTGTAATCAAGCACATACTTGCATGAAAGTGAATTCACACATTAAGGAAGAGTATAAGGAATTTAAATACATTCAGAAAAAGGTTGTTCCATCCTTTTTCTGAATGTATTTAAATTTCTCCACTGATGGATTTGACTGGCTGACATAATTATCTGAAGACAAAGAAGGTGGTGATTTTGTCCGAACTATTAATTCTGTAAAAAGACTCTTAGAATGCACATATGGGAAGAAAGGAAAATAATTTTCTAATAATGCCATTTCCCTCCATTTTCTCCTCTCTTTCTGAGTTTGTTTTTCTAAAAGGATAATGGTACCCTGTGACATAAGAGTCTGCTCACAGACCTTATCTATAAATCATAAACACTAACACCGACTGTTTGGTACCCAGGCAGTTCTAAGATTACCTGCAGCTGACCCTTCGGAGTGACCAATATAGTAAACATCCTTCTGTCCAGTTTTATTCAGGATGAAGTTCAGCTCTGCTGGAATATCGTATTTACCTATCTCATCGAAGCTGTGGGGAGAAACGCAAAAAGCTGGCAGACAATGTGACTGTCACAGTGTGAGTTCCTGACTGTCAGTTTTGTTCATGGCAGCGAGCAGGAGCCATTGCAGGAGGAGGCTGCACACAGTGTCTGCTCCCTTGCCTGAGCTGGGGAATGGGCAGAGGGTGCAGCTGTGCAGCCTGGCTGCCTGGTGCCCTGGGCTCTGTGTGCATCAGGTGCCACTTTCACCTGACAGCTGCAGCCCCTGGGGGACTGAATTTAATCAGGGCTTTCACCTGCATGGGTTACAAGAAATATTTTTCTCTCAGATAGCATCAGTTGTGGTAGATCAGATTTCCAGGCTGCGGTGAGCAGTCTCCTGTCCTTTCTGCACTTGGAACATGGTGTCTGGTGGGAGACTTCAAGGCGACAGATGCCTCCTCCCAGTTTTGGAGGCCTTTTCCCACAGAAACCAGCAAAGATGACCTGAGTACTTCCAGCTTTGCTTGTGTGTGTGCTGATTCCAGAAGAGCCAATCCAGCTTATGCAGCCAATTCCTTCTTAAAACCTCCCTGATATGCCCAGGAGTGGCTGCATCTCTGGAAAAGAGTTTGTCTAGTCTCCTGAAATGTTGCATGTCCCACTTGAAGTCAGATTATATGAAAACATGTCATGTTTTCATATAATTTAGAAGGGAATTTTTTTCATCTAGCCAGAAGGGGAAAGGTTGTGCATTCTAATGGCAACTGCCTAATCTTGCTAGTTCCCTGACAGTTGCTTTATTCAGAAATTCTTTCTCCAAAGAGTACCTGAACTGCCAGAACTCTTTCTGGCAGGGCTTAAGGGTCTTATGTTTTAAAGACCAGGTGTCTCCTCGGCTGTTTCCCAACCAGACATCATAGCCAGCATCTGCAAGGATGAAGCCCAAGCTGTTGTTGGGCAGGTTGGCAATCCAGTGAATAGAATCTGATAAAAAACCATGATGTAGCAAGACTGCAGGCTTCTTCCCTACAACAGAAGAGATTTTCTTAAGCTGTAATAGTAATAGGTAATGTGTATTTAAATGTGGGGTGCAGAATTTGGTTTTGCAGGAGTGTTTTAACCAATATACGGAATTCAGGCCCCATTCTAGGCTGAATGACTGGGTACCCTTGCTGAGATGGAAAGGTGTGGAACTTTGCATTTGCAAAGGGGAAGGATGGGGAATCCATGTGAGAGTTGGCTCTCATACTGCCCTTATATCATATATGTCATACCTGTATTGTGGTTGTTCCTTCCAGAAGGAATTCTGAAAACACCAAGAATGTATCCATCCTCTGTTGGAACTTCATATTCCTCGCTGGGGAATCCATGATATCTGATAATTTCACTCTGTGGGAAGCCAAAGGAGAGTTTGTTATCCTGCATTTACAGTGAAGATATTGGTGTAAGAACTGTTTGGAGGCTGCTTCTGCCCAGGAATGTGAAGCTAGCCAAGAACATGCCAGGGAGATAAATGTGATAGCACATTGCTAGGCTTTCTCTACTGCTCTGTGTGGTACTGGTAGGAAGGGACAGGGATTCCTGCAGGAAAGCAAACCCCAGGTCTCTCTTTTTTGTGGATGATCCTATAGCTGCCATGCTGTAGCCATGGAGGCTGGAGGATGCAAACAGCAGCTAGAGGAGTTGGGATGGGTTTCTGTGAACTGGTTTGTGTATTCTACTTAATGCCTAATATCACTCAAATGGTAGTAATTGCTGTAGCTGTGGCACTCAAGCACTACACAGATTTATAAGAGTAGCAGGATGCAGTAAAGTCTTCATCAGACCTGCTTACATGGTAGTTGTCTGGAATTTGATTCCCTATTATGGGGTTAAGTGAGTGACTAACCTTTTGGGAGATAGTTTATCCTGCTTTGCAAGGGTGACACAGGTCTGTATTATGATATTCTGCCTTGGAATGTGGTCAAACCACTCAAATAATGTCCTATTTTGCAAGCTATCAGTGGTAGGCTAGGAAGGAGCATCATGTCTTCCTGTTGGTGTTGAATTATGCTAAAACAGGTCTGACACATCAACCCCAAATTAGCATCCTGGTAATGAGACAAAGATCTGGCAAGGATAACCTGCTAAGCCAACCTGCAGACATAAGTTTGGTAGTCAATCACTTTATACTTTCACTGCCCAGTCCACTTTCATAGGGTTAAGTTCTCCTAATATATCCCTTCTTGGACTGTGTATGAAGATTTCTCCTTTGGGTTGGGATGCCCCTCAAAGTTACTCCTAGAGGCTGAGCAAAAGAGATTTTGCCCACAGTTGTTGGTATGGGTGAGGGTGAGTTATATCAGTCTCTACTTTAATAATTGATTCTTTTTGCTAGCTTTAATACAATTGCTTTTATACGATTGCTTTGATATAATGCACTGTGCTATATTACCATATACCAGTAGTTTTAGCTACTCTTCTGTATAGCAAAAAAATTCTGATTAGGTTATTTTTGTCTAATCATTAATTATAATAAATCATTATTCTTTTATATAAATATATCTGGTTTGCCATGGTTAGTCCTGCAGAACAAAGTTGTAGAATGGTTCAATCACACCTCTATGATTCCTTAGGCCTCAGCAGTGAGAGTCAGAGGCTGAGACTGGATTCAGCTGCACCCAAGCTCCTCTTTGAGGAGTTTAGAAATCAAGAGACTCCCTTCAGCACCTCAGGACTCAACAGAAGGGCTTCTCTAATAAACTTTGTCTGCAGCTCTCACTCTCCCCACAACAAGGTTGTACCTTTCCAGACAGTGAACATGCAGCAGTATCTCTATCTGATCCACAGGGAATCCTTTCTTGCTGAAGTGAGGTTAAGCAAGCCACAGAGGGTGGATCTACTATTTCAGACTCACAGCACCACCTACTACACTGCTGCCACAGTGAGGAAATCTTCGGTGATTCAGAGCAAGAGGTTTTGTTTTGAGAATCTGTTGTTTGAAGAAGGGGTACAAGCACCCTTAGCACTGTACTAGGCAAAGAGGTTGTTACAGAAGGGCAGACCTTGAGACTAGAAGCCAGACTTTGTTTCCTCTGCAAAGGAATTCTTCTCTCTAGTTCAGACTGTTTGGATAGGAGCACCAACATTTCCTCTAGGTCTGTGGTGCTGGAGGGACCCCTTTGAAGGGAGCTTTAGCCTCCTGATAGGCACTGTTAGTCAGTAGTAGTGGTAGTGGGAGAGATGCTTTAGGAAAAAAGGAAAGAAGGTGACCCAACTTACAACATTCATGAAGCATTCCGGGTTGCGGCGCTTGCAGCGGCTTGTGTCAACACCTGCACTGGAGGCTGCTGAGAATCCTGCTGAGAATCCTGCTGGAAAGGCAATTCCCTGGGAGCAGAGCAGCACGAGGAGGCACCACATCTTGGGGCTGGGTGGAAGAGCGCATGGTTTTTGTTCATTAGGAAGAGAGTGGTGTGGAATTCCACAGGAGGACCCAAGAGCAGAGTCTCCTGAAGGTTGCCCAAGGTCTGTTCCCCAGGGGCTGACAGAATAAGTACCTGTGTAAAGGAAGGATTGTCTACAGATTTTCCTGTTTAATATGGATTACAAATGAGTCAAAGGCTCCAGGATGAGAAGGAACCAACCTGGGGTCCTGTGTTTATATGACATTGATGCTAGTTTGTGATGAGTATCTTCCTTTCTACATATGGTCTTTTCTATTGTAAATCTGTCTTTCTTGGAGAAAAAGCTGAATCTTCCTGGATTTTAGGCATTGTCTGGTGGTCACAGTAAAGCTTGTCTGAGCAGAAATCATAGTGCTCTCTGTGTAGTTAATGCCCTGCTTTTTGGTTGTAGCCACCTTTGTAATTAGCATGGATGGAACAGGTCATAAACCCAGAGCATTTTATCTGAACCACCATGGGGAAGATCATTGAGGTTTTGGAGTTTGAAAAGGACAGGTAAAATTTCTTTTATTTGTTTCCTCTGAATTTCTTTAGGAGGGAGGGAGTGAGTGGGTTGTCAATTATCTTCATTTTTCATTAAATCTATCGTATCCCTTGAGTGACTACAGCATTTGGATTAAGCCAGAATTGAAATATTATAGATAGATGGATAGATATAATATAAAAGTTATATATCATTATATATTATTAGAATATATATTCAGTGCAATATTGTATTTTCAATATTGAAATCCAAACTCATTGTGGTCTATGCACTTTGTAGGAGAACACTCCAATTCTTCTGTCAATACAACAGAAATCCTCCTACCTGTGTGCTCTGGAAGCAGTTTCAGAGTAAATATTCCACTGCTTTCTGCTATTTTATTTAGTTCAAACAAAAGTAAAAAACACATTCCTCTTTTTCTCATGTGGAACATTGTTTGGGAAAAAACTGAAAAGTTCAGCATGTCACAGTTTGTATTAAAGATGAATCTATGCGGTAGGTAAATTATTACCTTTTTTATGGTGTGCAAATTTCTCTGTACTGTACTGAATATGAAAGCTTTGTAAATCAGACATAATGCACCAATCAACTCCAAGGCTTGGCACACAGCTGTCTCATTAATTTCAATGACCAAGTCATAGGGGCTTTGAACAACAATCTAGTCTTTTTATGCAATGAAACAATGCCAAAGAGTGGCATTTACCATGGCAAACTGGAAATAACTGAAATACTTTAAAAAGAAAAAAAAAGGTAGAGGAAGATGCCTGAAAGATACACTCAAAAATGCCATTTCTGGAGTTTTTTGATATTAATGAAAACAAACCTTAAACCTTCTAGAAATTCATCAGTGTACTCCTGAGAGAGTGCTATGGCTTTCACATACACTATAAATGGGACAGAAAGACACCAGGCTAGCAGGTGTCAGAATCTCTGGCTTAACTTACAGGGAAAACTCAAATGCTTTTGCAGATATAATATTTATTTAATCTATGTACATGCTTTCAATGCTGAGATTTCCGTGCATCCACAGTGACATCCCTAGGGGGGAAAAAACAAGGAGAAGAAAATGAAACCATCAGTTACCCTTTTTCCCATCTGCATGGGCCAAAGGCTTTTTCCTCTCCCCCTCTGGCACACCTGCCCTTTGGTGCACAGCAGTCAGCAGGGATGGCAGGCTGGCTGCTCTGAGAAGCAGCTGCACAGAGCCAGGACAGCACACCTGCATGGAGACGGGCAAGGGAGAAAGAGAGCATGGATGGATAGGAACAAACTCACCTCTGGTTTGGCTCCTGTGCTTGCCCCTCCTGCTGCAGTTCCTGGTCAGTCTCCTGCTGATTCACTGCCAGAAGCTTGTGCCAATGCAAGGAGCAGCAGCAGAGTTCTGTGTGAGATCTGCATGCATGGGAGAGCATGTTTAGGTGCTGCTTGTTTGGCAGTACTTAAGGAGTGGAGTTTTTGTATGATAAACAGCACCGTTGCATGAATTCTGAAAGACCAAATTGCATCATGGATCTGGTGAGGTAAAGAGGCATCTAACCTGTTATTAGAATACTTATGAGGAACTTGGTTATTCTTGTTCCCTGAGGCTGTGGCAGATCTTTATCTGTACTACTATCTGTCTTACTAAGTGCTGTAACTACTATATTTTGGGATAAAAAGGAGGAAGGATCCATCTTTCTCAAAACTTTCTAGCTGTGAATTGATCTCTGCTGCTGAGGGTAGTACAAAAACTGTTTTGGTCACAGGTTCCACACCGGTTTCTTGTTCTCTGAATTGCTGATTGCCTGGGACAACCCTTCTTTGTTAGATAATCTTAGAATAAAACCAGAAGTGATTTGGAAGGTGTGAACCCCACAACATACAAAAAGGAGTTTGCTCTGAATTACCCAGCTTCTGTAGGGATTCTGAGGAACTGAATTAAGTTTTAAAATATTGTTTAAACTTCAAGTCAAGAGAGGGTGCTAACACTAATTCTTACTATTTCCAAGCCCCCTCAATAACTCTGTGAACACAATATATTAGAGACCCTGCCTCACCACTGAATTAGTTGAAGTCAGCCTGAGGGGCTTGATCCTCACTGAAACTGGCCTGGCTTCTTGATGCTGCAAATTCTTTGAAACGTGGGTGCTAATGATATGCTCCTTGCCTGGGAAAATGAATGGAGTAAGTACTTGTTAGTAAACACAACCTACCTGAGAGTCACCACAGAAACAGTTTTGCTCTAGGAAATAGGGCACACTCTGTGGAAAAGCCAAAAAGGTGATTTCTCAATGAAAAGCATCAGATCAGCAGGTCTGATACCCCCACTTAGTGAGAAATATTGAAGACTTTGCTCTATTCCCAGATTACAACATCCTGCATTTTTTGTTTTATAGAATTGCCAGCTGGGAATGATCTGCAACATTTTACCTGTATCACCTTGTGGTGGCATATGGGATGTATGATATATTTTCTGATATTATTGACGGGAATCAAGTGAAGAGCAAAATATATGTTAGCCCATCTGAAAAGGGAAAAGAGAAGGAAAGTAATGCATACAAACAGAGAATAAAACCCACAAAGCCTAGAAACAGAAACTTCTCAGGATGGGCTGCCCTGACATAGAGAGCCAGGGAAGCTGAAACAGTAAGTATTCTGTTTTAAAATGCTGTGTCAAAACTGAAGTCCAGGTGGTCAGGCCTGGAGCTGGACGTAGGAGGAGCTCAGTTAAGTGTTACAAAACCCAGGCTCTGGTCCATGCCATGGAGGGGTTTCTTTGTGTGTCTTGGGTCTGTTGAGTCAGCCCTGTCCTGCAGCAGAGGCACAAGGGACCTTGCAAGGATGTTGTACAAGTGGTTAACACTCTTCTCAGGGAAAGTGTAAGGTGTCAGTGTCCCTCTTGTGCAGACACTGGCCGTTCCAGGACTGCATTTCTCAGGAATGTGCATTTGGGAGGACTGCTCTGCACACATGACTCCAACAAGCCAAAGGCTGCTTTCCTGAGGGTAACGTGGCTCGTGGGATTTGTGGCAATACAAATCATAGTGCTTGGAATTTAAAGAGACAAATGATCTTCTGTGACTTTTATTGAATATGCTGTTCTTAAGCTATTAATATCTGGTTTAAAAAAATAGTTTACCTTATTAGTACCCTGGTAAAGGCTCTTATGAAAAATATTAGTTCCCTTCTGGCTCACATGAAACTTTTGAAGTATTGTTGAATTCTGTCAGGAAGTAAGAATCATGTTTCCCACACAGACTGGGTAGGGGACAGTTTGCCCATGCACTGTCTTGGCACCCTTTGGAGAAAAAAACCCTTATTCATAAAAAAACCAAAGTTTTTCAGGATTCTAATCTTCATTTACAAGTATGGAAAAAAGCACTGAAGCAACAGGTCAGTCAGAAGTGAACCTGTGACTATATACATTTGCATGAGTTTCATATCTCATCATGGTTGGGCTGCTTGACTGTTCTTCAGCTGAAGCTCTGACCAAAGTAGTCACTTCAGTGCTTTTCAAGAGGACCTGGGATGTGATGCTGGATTAAAGGGTAATTTACACTGTCTTGGGAAAAGTAAGTGTTGCCTGAAGCTATTGCTCTGATTTGGAGAGGATGTGGTTTTTTGGTTGGTTTTTTTTGGCTTTTTTTTTTTTTTTCGGTTGTTGTTGTTGGTTTGCTTGCTGTGTTTTTTCTAATACTTTTTCAGATTACCATACATTTATTTATTTTTGTTAGAAAGAGATTAATTAAACTACTACGTTGTTTTATGTAGCATCTTAGTGATTCAATATTTCTTTCAACAGGTTGTAGCTTATAAATTCCAACAAGCTGGTCAGTAGATGCAGGAGGATGTGACTATCTAAGGATCTTGATGTGAAGAAGATCTTAATGAAATACTGGTGAGGAAGACCTTTTCGCCTTTGAGGGGTTACTCACTCTTCCATGCCCTTAGTCCAACGTGATATTCAACACATGCTTGAAGAGCAGGCTGTTGTGAGGATCCCAGTGGGTCTGCCACAGGTAAGTGTTGTGTCTGTGTCTGTCACTGCCAGCCTAACTTTCCTCTGATAAACAGCCACTGAAAGGGCTACAACTGGTGCCAGCACAAGAACACCACAGCCAGCAATGTTGTACTACTTTAATTAGACTAGGCTGGAGATAGAATAAGAAATTTTATATGGTCCTCCACCTCGCTGAGAATAAATATGAACATTATTTGGAAACAGATGTTCTTAAATGTAAGGCAGAGGTCTTGGATTTAAGATGCATCCTTACATTAATATGTTTTAAAACTTTTTTTTTAAATTGCTTGAAATATATGAAATGTGATTTAAACTATAAAAGGATAAGATATTTTTGAGGTGAATGAAGAAATTTGAAATACACACGCCTTGCTCGGAAAGACTGAGTGTAGTACAGAAATCCCATCAACATCTTATCCTCAGGGCCATCAGCAATAATTCTCTTCCCAATTAGCATATAAAATTATCAGGGTAAACATGAATCATATTCATTGGTTGGGCTGGGCTAGAAAGAGAAGATGGAGCAAATGTGATGAAAGTGGCCGGCCTGTTTAATTAAAGAGTGAAAGGCTAATTATACTGGGAGTTCTCATTAAAGGCGTGGGATTTAGGCGCTTCCCTTTTCCTGACAGGCATTTGAGGTGTTCTTGCAGAAGGTTTGGAACGTATTTTAGTCAACAGCAGCTTGGGTGGCAAACTAAGTACAATTCTTCTTTATTTTAAGTTTTAGATTTCAAGCTCTTTATTCTTTTCACTCCTCCATTTCTTTACTTGTGAAACTTCCTTCCCTTCTCTCTCCCTGCTCTCCTCAACCTGTTTTGCTACTTTCCTTTTTAGGTAACTGGAGGATGTTATTGCAGAAATGACAAAGGAAAATGCTTCTGTGTTGTAACTTGTTCCATCAGCCTTCCGTAGGCTGCTGTTCTCACGTTTGCCTCCCTGGGTTGGGTTTCTGAAGACAATAGTTTTATGCTACTAAGTAGAAAGCACTGAGAGGAAACACAGCTTAAGAAAAAGTGATACTTTCACGTTAACTATTAACCAGATTCAAACAGGCTCGAGCACATTTCAAGTGAGGGTAACTTGGGCTGTTGAACAAGAAGGAGCTCCAGAGTGAAGAATAGGCATGGGGATACTCTATTCAGAGGTACGTGACCATTTTCTGCAGTTACTGACGCTGTTCAAGGTGTGGATATTCACTGGGCTTGGTTTGCTCCCTTTGCAGCCTCCCATACTCAGGCTTATAGAAATCTGGAAGTTTTTTTTCCTTTGGAAATGTTTTCCTTTGTCTATTACAAGCTGCCAGTAGTATTGTTTGTAGAAGCAAAAAAAAAATGCACTAACCGGCATAATTATCGTGGTTTCACAAAGTGAAATGTGTTCCACATTTTCTGTTGTCCTGTGTTGAGATCAGAATGATCCTCTACATGGCGCAAGTGACAAACAGCTTTGCAAAAAGCAGACAGCTCCTTGGCTTACACTGAATACAGATAATAAAGTTAATGCCTAAGAAAACATCCCATGCCCCCCATATAGTTTTAGGAAGGTAATTATTTTTTACCTTATCTTTATGGTTTGTCCCCAAACTACAGTTCATTTAACATTTTCCACTTTAGAATAAATTCTACCTAAACGTATTCTGTTATAAATTTACCATTTGTACATGTGGGGACAAATGAGGATTTTGGTCCTTTGTGACTGTGAAAAGAGTGCGTTGCACTGTGTTTGTTTTTCTGGAGGTAGCATTACATAGCTGTTGCTTTTAAAGGTTACATTTCTATGCTGAAAGCCACCCTTTTATTTTCAAAAAGCTATTCCGTGAAATCAGGAAATCAGGCATCTTCTCCTCTTCCAGTATTACAAGGAACTTGAATCTGTGCATTCATAGGGTGATCAGCTGAAGAGACTGTAGCTTATTCTGAAAGGATTTCTTGCCTCTCTCCAGATCTGCTACTCTGGGATAGTATTGCAATGGAAATCAGTGTTGTCTAGCTTAATTACACAGGTTTTTAAAGAATGTTTAAATGCAGTTCATATTTCTCATGCTTATTAGTTAATATTTTCATATAAATTCATTTTCTCTCTTTTAACATTTTGAGAAACAGTTTTCTGCATAAATTATGGTTCATATGGTAAATGATGTAAATTATACAGGATAGAAAGCTAGGCAACTGAAAATTAAGAATTGTAGGTTGCCTTTTCTGAGAAGCAGAACCTAGATATTAGTGTATTCCTTGACATCCTAAACCTAATTTAGACTTTCCTGTTAAGTTGACAGCATGCTGTTCGTATAATTTTAGTGCAAAGGAAGAGGCTATGGATTGGTTCAGAATACTTTGACATTGCAAAATGTTTTCCTTTTTTCTAAACAATTGCAAAGACTTGATGTAATTTAGGCAATCCCCTGGAGTTCTAAAGGAGGAAGCAATTGCAACTGAAATTGCTCTCCAAGTTGCAAGACAGGCTTTACCTTCACCTCCTCTCTATTGGTTGAATGCTTTGTCCTTCATACTGTGCCTTTAACCTTTACTTGGCTGGTAGAACTTGCTAAGCAGCTGGAGGTTTATCACTAAGCTCATCAAAGCTGAGCAGAGGGTGATGCAAGAAACTCTGAAAACACCAGACAGGTTCAGATGTGTTGGTTCATCTGGATCTGGGTAAACTGCTAGGACCTAGCATCAATCATGTTCCACAATTGATTAAAAAAAATTTTAAAAATTGGTTCTATAACTGCCCTTTCTGATAGCGAAAGTGATATTGCTTATCTTGCACCACATGTTTGGTGATCTTATACTGAGTGGTCTCAGTCATGAAAACCCTTGCATGTCCTGTGAGTATTTCTCACCTTCCCTGAAGCCTTTTATACTGAACAACTAAAATCTGGTCTGAAGGGCTTGCAGAAGAAGAAGTATTGGAGAAAGAGAGATTTTAAACACTCAATTATTGGCATATCTAATCTTCAAACTCTACTTTCCATTCTCCAGTGTCTGCCCACTGCTTTTTTTTCAGCTGGGCAGACTGTGCTCTAGTTTATGATTAGCCCTGATGCTATGGCTGGGAAAAGGCACCTCTGGAGAGGGTTAAAGGAGTGTTTGGGGTTGTGATTCTGGTTTTTCCCTCCCTTCCATGTACATTTTGTGCAGAGTCACGCTGCCAGGTTCATCCCATGCACCGTGTCTGAATGCTGGGTGGTGCTGCAGAAGTGTGAATGAGAGCAGAGCTGGAGGGCTTTGCTGCCAGATCCTCCACAGAGGCCCTCTCCTCCTCTTTGCCTGAGCTGGGATTGTGGCTCCTACTCCCCCTCCCTGCAGAGCTGAGCCCGTGTCTGTGTGGGGTGCAGTGTTTGCTGTGCCAGTGCTGGCTCTGCCCTGCTGCTTCATGGGGGTGGCCAGGTCTGCTGTGAGTTCCCTGGGCAGCCAGGACACTGGGATGTATAAATGATGTGGTGTGGGCAAGAGAAGCCGCTCTGTGTCTTGGACTGCAAACTACTCCTCCAGAAGCTGAGAACTCAGTTCTCAGTGGTGCTTTCTTCAGAACTTGTTGTCGTGTTCTCTTCTCACACATCCCTAAAGGAGACTGCACAGACATGAGCACAAGACATGAACTTTGGGTTCCTTGGGTATGGCTTGCCCCTGGCATGTGAGGCTCAGGTATTCTGAGAACTATCCCATAGGTTTATTTCTCTCTTGTGTATGATGAGTGGATAACAATAACATAACAACAGTAATAACCATAACACAAATATGGAACTGGCTGTATCACTACTGAGGCAATCTTCCAACACTATAGAAAACAGAGTGAGATTTTACAGCCCCTTATCCTCCAGGATAGGTTAAAACAGTCTAAAGCACAGTTAGTCCTCCTTTAGATAGGGTTGCCAGAGTGACAACCCAAAAAAAGTGAGAGGTGGAAAAGAGTTTTGTGGCTGAGGCTTCACAACCACAGAAATCCTGGCACATGCTCAAGCCCCAGCCTGGGGCCAGGCAGGTTTTGTGTCCAATCTGTTGCTACTGGAAGCCTGTTTTGTTACTTTACTCTGCTTATGAATACAAATGTCTTTTTAATTTTCATGCTAAATTTCTTGGTCAGATGCATCAACTTTTTTACCATATTCCTTGAAATTAATTTGTCTTTCTTTAATACTGTCTCTTTAATTTATTTTGGAGCACCAGTGACAGTGCTGTGTCTCCCTAGCCCAGCTAAGCAAATCAGCCTTTCCTCAGGCTCTTCATGTTCCTCAGCTGTAGAGATGTTTCATGCTCATGCCATGGTCTGATCTCATTTTAGCACACAAATTACAAGAGCTCTACACACCATCCCAGTAAAGTGTCTTCTATAACACCTCTTTCTGTGAGAGACACTATCTAATATAGCATTTGCCTTTCTTGGAGAAGTGGCTGATTGTCACCTATTTGTGTTTTTTCTTATCTTTATACTTTCCTAACATTTTTTTTTCTGAATCCTTATTATTATTGATGTCAATATCATGAACTTAGAGTTGTTGGTAGTGCTTTGCTCCTTTACTTAAATATTCTGCTACTATGTTTGCTTTTCCAGCCATGGAAAAGCCAATGTGAGAGATATATTACAAGTTTGGTCTGTGAGATTTTTCACCTTTCTTTGACTAAAAGGTGTTTTCAAGAATATGAACCAGCAGAGTGGGCCTCAAAAAAATCCCATAGAAATGGGAAAAAAAGTTGTGTTTCTTTGTTGTTTTTTTTTTTTTTTTTAAATATGAATGGAACATAATGCAGACAACGTAATTTCTACAAAGTACCCCCACTCCAGGGGAATAATAATGATTCAAAATGGATCTTTACTTTACATCATATTTAAAATACATCAGTTTCCCAGGTATTAGTTGCTGGAATGGATGAGAACTGCTTCCTTGCATTCTCTGTGCCCTGGATGTTTTCTGGTTTCAGCAGGTGAAGGAGCAGCTGTGACTTGTGTGTGCTGGCTCTGTGCATGACTTCACCCCAAATAATGTGGTCTCTTAGGGAGTGGTCTGTGTGCCATCACTGTTCATGGCTCTAGAACTGAGTTCAGCAGGAGTGGAAGGTTTAGAGAAAGATCCCATGGATCAATGAGAGCATCAGTCAGAAATGCCTTGGGTTCACCCAGCAAGTAAAAGTCTTTGAGGCAGTACAGAAAGAAAAGCAGAAAAAAGCAAATCCTTGAGCTGCTGAGTGAGCAAAACCAGCTTAGGAAGGAGCAAATTTATATGGTAAATGACTGGGATTTGAACAGATGTTCAACCAAAGAACATCTTTAAATAAGCAAAGCAATATCTAAGCAAAAGAGTGGCAGGGAAATCAGAGGTGCAGGCAAACTCCACAGGATCTTCTCTCTCCTGGACATGAAGATACAGTACTAGACACCAACATGACAGAGAGCAGGGTTCTAGAGAAAACTGATCTTTTAGATGGCACCTGTGTGCAAATCACACCAAAAGGGGTTTGAAAGAGGCTTTTCTCCTCAAAATCATTGAAACAGTTCTGGTTCTGGTTCAATGCAAAATCCCAAATTGTATATGTATACGTCTATACAAATACAGACAGATGTGCAAGTTTAAAATATGGCATGTGTTCTTTGTAGATTTTTGACTCATAATAAAAACAAAACAAGAAGTAGTGCAAGGTCTGGTAAGCATGTAAATACTTTCTTTGGAAACAAATCACTTCCCTTATGCAGCTGTCCAGAAAACTAAGCAGTAATTATGCTGGAGATAAACCTGTTTTGTAAATCAAAGTTTGGCTGAAAATGTGTAAATAAGATGAATATTTTTAATGCAGGAAGGTGTAGGAGTAGAGGGGAGGACAGAGAGAAGGGAACAATCTGGAGGAGTGAGGAAAGAGCTCAGAGATCAGGACTAGATCTTTTTCAGATAAAGTATTTAGAATGTGAAAAAAGGAGAATGAAGAGGAAAACTACAGCTAATATTTAAAGAAAATTTCTGTTTTGGAAAATTTTGGGTAAAATCTTCAGTATCAAAGAAAAGACAGACTTATTCTATTTTTGTCTGGAGAATTCAAATGTTACCAGTCTGCCTCACCTCTAAATGTTAGTTTCTGCTTGTATTAGGCTGTTAGAAACCTGTAGTACTCCTGCCCTTCCCAGCTTCTCCTTAGTCTGAATTAGTGCTACAGGAGATGGAAGAAATTGCAGTTTAGGTCAAGGATGTGTAGAAACATTGAGCGAAAAGCTGACCAGAAAGCAGTTCTCAAAAAAAAAAAAAAAAAACAAACCACAAAAAACCAAGCAGGATCTGACCTATGGGCTCACTGGTATGGTTTTTTTTAGGTATTTCAAGGTCTAGAAAAGAAACATTGGTGGGGCTTGGTTTTTCAACTCTCACCTGAATTGTGGTTCCCTTCTGGGAACGGATGAGTCAGGAGTGGCTCATTCTGCTCAGCCACAGGTAAAGCCTGAGGAGAACTCGGGCACAGGAGCTTGTCCCTGCCTGCTGCTTAACACCGTGACCAACTCCCGTCAGAATGGAAGCTGCTTTGGGGGGTTCTTTGCTAATGGCTGCAAATAAACAGCCATTTATAAATAGGATAATAAATAAAATATTATTTAAACATAAATGAACAGGACTTATTTCCTGGGTTATAGAAATAGCATCCAAAAGGAGCAGAACATCCATTCCACTGTGCAAAGGCTGTGACTTTGGGGCTGGGAGCAGTGTAGAGCTGCAGGAGCGTCTCCTACCACCATCTTCTGGAAGGCACCAAGAACTACAGCCTCTGCCAAGTGTCCTGGGGTGTGTGAGGAGTCAGCCAGGATGGCAAGTACGGATGTCTTAGTGAAACACGTGCTGATGAATATTATCTTCTCACTTCAGCCCATCTGTCAGGCAGCTTATAACAACGATTTCAACAAAGTTCATCTCCTTTTGGAGAGCAACAGCAACTATTTGAATGTCCAGGACAGCTTCCTTGGAGACACCCCCTTGATTTGTGCATGTAAACAAGGAAACAACAGGATAGTTAACTATCTTCTTAGGAAACATGCTGATGTCAACCTCAGAAATAAGGTAAGTGGCCACTGACTCGCCTTTGTGGGACTGTTCTTTCAGATTCTGGGAGTGCCAGTGGGGACACTAGAAAGCACAGACAAACCTCAAGTTAGTTTCCTACTGAGGATATGTGGAGAAACAGATGGAACTAAAAGGCTTCTCTGCTTCTTTTGGGGTCCTGTGTCCAGCTCCATTTTGACATCCTGTAGCAAGTTTAACACTGTAGCACAAAAGTATGCAGACCTGCCCTTTAGTTACTTTGGTATTCAGTATTCAAGGATTGTTTTTAAAGCTCTATTCTCAGTAGGAGTCTGTGGTGGTTTTTGCTGCTTTCCTGTTTTTCTCTGATGTCCCAAAAGCGATGTTCTAAGGTCTCACATATCCTTGTTTCAGTAGCCAGCACCTCCATAAGAAGGGGGGCTGTGGTGACTCCTCCTGCTGGTTTACCTTGATGTGTGGCAGCAACAGCCACATGAAATACCCACTCTATCCTTTGAATTTCTGCAGCCAGGTCCAAGTTTGCCAACATACACATGGAATCCTTTGGATCCCGCATCCTCCTTGCATGTGTAGTCCAATTTCCATGTCCCTCTATGTGTTAATGTGCTTCTACTTGAAGGAAGCAAGATGCATGTGTCTATTTCTGCTTGAAAATCCCAGGAGATTTCCTATTAGAATTTGTAGAAGAAAGCTTGTGGGATTTAAAATGGTCTTCTCTAATCAATGTTAGTCAAAGTGAGATGACTGAATCTGGTACTAATGAGAGTTGCTTTGTGTTTAGAAGGGTTGCACTTGCCTCCACTATGCTGTGAGGAAACGGTTCACCTTCCTTGACTACGTGCTGATCATAATCCTCATGCCAGTTATGCTCATTGGGTACCTCCTCATGGTGAGTCTGGAGGGAAGCAACAATGACCCTGGACCTTTCCCTTGCCATTTTTCCTGGCAGTGTTTCAGGCCAGGAAGCTCCACAGAATATGGGCTGCTTTCTTAAAGCAAGAATGAATGTGTACAACAGAAGGGTTTTTGCTGTGGATGTAACTGGTGAAGGAACAGATTTGTATTGCTGCATCAGTCTGACATTCCCACAGACCGTGCCTCTTTTTGGGAAAACCCCACCGTATTTAGCACAAATATACTTAAGGCTATATGAGATTAACTGTTTTACTGTGTTACTCTTTCAGGTTTCAAAGACAAAACAGAATGAACACCTGGTCAAGATGTTGCTTAGAGCTGGAGTGGATGTGAATGCTACAGACTCTGTAAGTGGGTTTATACAAATGCAAATGTGGCTCACAGGAAGGAAACAATACTAAAAACAGACTACAGAACCTTCTAGCAGCATAGTTGGAGTAGGAGCATCAGGCACTGAACTCACTAATGTACCAGGAGGATTCAGTGTTTCTGCTTGACACTCAGGCAACAGATTTATAGTGTATACAGAAATAATTCTGATCAACTAATCAACTAATCCTCCCTTTCTGAACAATGCCCTCATAAGAGAATCCAGGCAAGCTGGGCTCAGGTACTTATGAATTAAATACCCCTGTATTCTAGTAAAGATTCTAGTAATAATCTGTAAAGATTCTAGTGATATAAGCATCTGAGTTTATCAGCATTTATTTTGAACTGGAACAGAGTTGTGGGCTACAGGGCAAGACCCTATGTCTTCTCTTGCTCTTCAGAGTGTGCTGATCTGGTATATACAGAGTTATGTATCCACTATCCTACTTGGGTGAGGTAAAGAACTGCTCTTCTCCAAGGCAGAAAAGGAGAAACATTAATTTTAACAGCAATGAAATTCTAAAACACTGAAGTGCAAGCAAACAGTATTGTTTAAGATGTAGTTTCTGAGGTCAAGCTCATGTGATCCCCTGAAATTACTGGTTTCCTGCTAATGTATCAAACCTGTTTTAGCAGTTGCATCCCAGGGAAGGAATTAATTTTTTTGATCCCGTTTTTCTCATGGTAATGTGTTTGTTTCACCTTGTAGTGTACTGTGACAGGAAATGGTATGTGTGTTTTGCAACCAGCTGTTAGCGGGAATCTGATAGCCTACAGGTAGTCCTACTTACTAAGCTCTACTAAAGAAGTCATAGAAATAAAATTAATTTGCTTCCCTTTCCCTTCAGTCTGGCAGCACAGCCCTTCACTATGCTTGTGAAATGAAAAACCAGGCAGTCATTCCTCTACTGCTAGAAGCTCATGCAGACACTTCTGTAAAGAATCAGGTAAGAAGGTGAAGTTGATAAATGTATTGTTTATCATGGTGGTCAGCCAGGAGGTACATTGTAGGCCTTAGCTGGTGCACAGCAATGTAAGGAAAACGGTGCACAGCTTCCTGGCAGCCAATTTCTTTCTTGTTTTCTACTTAGCTCAGAGCTACTCTATAGTTGTTCCTAAGATGTTCCTAAGTTGTTCCCAAATCAATATTGACCTGGGAGTATCTGCACTGCTGAGTTGAGGTGAGCAGTGTATTACATATGCTGCTCTTGAAATCAAATCTTAGCTGAGCTCTGTACATTTGGATATTACTCCCAGAAAAAGTGGAAAGGCTTTCCCTACTGTAGGGGAGGTCTCTGTTCCTTTCTTCAGCCAGAGCAGTATAGGCCCAGCATGTCCTCAAACCTTTATTTTAGAGCAGAAGTGACACGGGACCTTACACAGGGGGCAAAGTTAGGAAATCTCTTTGTATGTGACCCATATCTGTCATATTGCAATGTATTTCATGTGTTTCTTTCAGAATGGGGAGACTCCCCTAGATATAGCAAGAAGATTACAGTTCCACAGCATTGAAAGCATGATAAGAAAAGATTCTTAGCCATCAAGGACTCTCAAATATGCAGAAAATTACCTCATCTGACACCCCACCTTTCACAACAGCAGAAGTGGGGGCTGATACTTGATAAAGACTCAGTCCACATCCACTCCTTCCTTGCTGCAAACTTGGACAATTTTGTGTGAGATTTATCAGTACCCCAAGGCCATGAAGTTAATTTTATTTTACTAAGCCATGAATTACTACAATAGTGTTAAAAATATCGCCCTTTCCATCTGCTTCATCAGTTTTATTACTTGACTTCTGCAGACTGTGGATTTTGAAAGCGAACTATAAAATATCTGGAAGCCTAAACATTGTATATGATGGTTGGCAGCCAACGCAAAAATAAAATATCCCTTACAGTGTGTGCTACTTGTTCCATAGGGAAACGAAACAATGTACTACAGCAGTTATAAAAGGTCTGGTACCCTTCTTCTTAGTATTTATCTTCCTACAATGGGAGGGGCTGGGAAAACAGATCTCTCAGTTGAGCCCTTCTTTCTTCCATCCTTCCTATGATTTTCACACACCTTAATTCTCCCTGTGTTACTACAAGAGTAGGACTTAGATTTCATCTAAGAAACAGCAAAAAGAGATTCAATGCCTTGCTGGATTAGGAAAGAAAGTCAATTCCCAGATCACTTAAATGCATTAAGAAATAGTAAAGAAAATATGTTTGGCTCAGTAGAGAAACAGGTCTCTAGACTACCTTTCCAATATAAACAGTGCGCTAAAGAAAAAAAAGAGTCAATAAATGAAATGCTGTTGATGGAAACCAGATGTGTCATTCCCATGGGACTAGGCAGGATAGCCTGCTGTACAGAGTGGTGCATGCAGCAGGGGATAATACCAATCATCATAATAATATATCCACAAGTCTTCTCTTGCATAAGGGAAGGCAGAAGAAAACCTGCAGTAATAAGCAATGTATCAAAGTGGTCCAGTGCTTTGTGATTTAATAATGCAGCAATAAAGGGGAAGCTCCTTTCATACACTGCTGTGTTGTGCCTCCTTGGTCTAATGGATCTTTATTTTTGTTGACAATTTTGGCCTTTTCCTGTAAGCTATCAGAAGTGCAGTACATTGCTAATGGTGCCACAGTAGGTGTGTAGTTTACTTTTCCTGTGTTGCAAAGCCAGCTATATTTTTCAGTGTAACTATTGTATTGGATGTCAACTCCAACTACAAGGGGTCTTGGCTGGGCAAGACGAGCTTGAGGCTGCAGCCAGAAACACTCCATGAAATAAAGCTCCCGTTGGAGCCTGTAATAATGAACACTTTGTGTGCAGCCTGGGGACAGACACTCCAGAGCAGCTTGAGGTGAGAAGAGGGGAGGCACTTGCATGGATTGTGAAGACACCATCACTTAGGACTGATGGCTGGGAGGAGAAAACATCCAACTGCTGCACTATGTTTCAGGAACTGCTTGAATGAAGAATGGCCCAGACACAGAGCTGTGTAAAACTGAACACTGACAGCTCAGAGTGCTGGCAACAGCTTCACTGCCAGTGTGAAAATAATTCATAGGGTGGAAGCTGTATTGCCTGGATGGCTCGATGGCTCTACATCTCCTTATGCCACAGCTGCCATCTGTGGTCTTTGAAACTGTAAGGGGCTCAGGGTGTGTGAACAAACATTTGTGTGATTTGTAGGCATGGGAGGCAGAGAAATACTTCAATAAATTTTTTTGAGGTTGGATTCCTTGATAGTTTTAGACATCTATTATCTGCTCAGTTTCTTGTGCTTGAAGATCTCTTGGTTGTGTTGGCATTAAGGGGTAATTTGAGGAGGGAAAACAAAAAAGACAGATTCTCTGTCAAGAGGATCAATAATTTAATTTGAACAAAATTATTCATTTCAACAGAGAAATGATCAAATCACACTTTTGGGTCTCCCTAGTGTTGGAAAAAGAAATGAAATTTAGCGAAATGTTTAATTACAGTTTAGTTATGAGTTGTGTGCGAATTAGTTTGTTAAAAACAGTTCTGTAGCCGTTGATAGTATGTGTTGGGTTTTGTGTGCAACTTAGCAGGTAGTCTTAGGAACTTAATAAATATTTAAACTAGTGTAGGAAAGTAAGAATGCTAACCTGTCTGGAGGCAGCATACAATGTTCTTAGAATAAGATAAGCAGAAGATTTATGATTTTGTTTGTGAACTAAGGAACGTATCACAAGGGGTCTGTTGCTAGGTAAGGGGAACTGTTTCTTGGAGACCTTGTTATGAATCACATGTATAAAAGGGAAGCACCTGTACGTGAAGTTGGGGCTCTGACTTGGGACGCTAGTCCACAGGCTCCCGGGCCCTTAATAAAGCACCGCACAAAACTTATCCGAGTTTTGTGTCCTTTATCTATCGGGCAACACTAGGAAGACAAAAATTGGGAATGAGAATGCCTCAATTGGGTAAATAAGATCTATCTGAAAAAACAGAATTTAGGCTTAGGAAAATTAGTCTTGTAGAAATAAAAACTTTTGAGATTTAATGATCCCTGCAATATGTACTCCAACGTATTCATGTTTTCAGCTTTCATTCTTATATACCTCGGACTTCTCAGGAAGACAGGTCACAGTAACACCATGAAAAAACTCAAATAATGAGGAAAGCAAGAAATAAATAAGAACAAATAAATACCTATAGAAGTATCCATTATGTGTGCCTGTGTGTTTACCTCTTCCCCAGCTACCACCCTTATTGCCAAATAGAAATTTTGGAGGTTTTTATAATCAACACTCTGCTCATGGATTCAAAAATATTTTCTTAATAATTCAATGATTTTCAAATACATTTTCTCAGTTGCATCAAGGCCCCAGATGAAATCAAGATGTCCCCATGTAGGAAAATGCTCATGGTAAATGAGATTAGTGATCCGAGGAAGAAGCCTTGCTATGTCTGTTGGGTCTGCAAACGTGTCCTGTCCACCACTCCAAACAGCAGTTGGCACCTTTATCTCCTCTATCTTGTACTCAGGAGGAGCAGTCTGTAAGAGAGGGAGGAGACCTGAGTGAGTGCTGGGTATCAAAGTTGTGTTTAGAGAAAGGTTTCTATGGAAGCACCTCTCTTTGTCTTTTGCCTCTGCAGTAAAACCATAAAGATGAAGGTCACTCTCTTACTGTTCATTGCCCTAACCCCATTCCCTGTCCATGGAATGACCCATCCTATTCCTGTTCTTCCTATAAAGCATGGCTAAGGGTTGTCCTGCAGTTTGGTCCTGCTTGTGCTCTCCAGAGTGTGGGCATGGAGAGAACAGTGGCAGTATTCAACAGTCTTGAGATTTTTCTGGAGATTTTTCCTCTGTGTATTCAGGGTGAGAAGACCTATAAGTTTTTTGCAGTGCACAGAGTGCAAATTTTGGTCTTAGTTCTCATGATTGGAACTGAACTGGAAAGGAAATAATTTGGTTGTTTACGATTTTCCCACAGAAAATTTCTGAGTGTGTGAGATAGAAGTGACTGATTGTAGCTCTGGAGCCTTTCTGTTTGTGAAAATCAGCATTTTAGTACAGCACAGAGCACTGCAAGGCAAATGTGCTGGTTAAAAGAGAAATGGTTGCCAGTCCACTGGAGAGGTCACTGTGAGATCTGATTCCTCTCTTAAATGAAAGACAAGCTTTGAGGATTTTAGAGCAAGTGAAGAGCTCTGTACTCACCCAGTCCTAGGACTTGGATGTGGTTCTTATTAATTTTTGAAATGACATTGACCACATCCCAGCATCAGTAGGGGAGACAAAATGAACTTCTGTTAATTGTCTGTAAAGGTCTATCTCTGCCTTGTTTGTGAATAGACTTTTACACTTGTGTGTGATTCAGCTGAGACCACTCTCCCCCTTGTTAATACTCACAGGTGCTAAAATTTGAATTTTTCTATCACTAGTTTTACCAAGACTCAAGGTTAAGTTCTGAGGGGGTCCATTTTGTCTTACCTGGTTGTATTTCTTCATGTTTTCCTTAGAGCCATAGTCATAAGCTTGAAACCGGTCTGTATGTGCTAGCTGTTAAAAGGACAGACAAAATAAAAGGTATGAGAGGTGAAGGAGCAGAGTGCAGGAGGCATATTCCTGCCTGACAGTTAAGTCAAGGCTCAGGTAGTGGACTGTGTTATTCCCACACCTTTCTCTGGTTGCAGGCTTCCAGTGTGCTGAGGATAGATCATAGGATAAGTGGCATCCTTGCTTTCTCTCTTGCTAACTTTCTGTCCAGATCCTTATCTTCTACCCTCAGTATGTTTTGTTACTTAAAATTTTGTTTTACTACCTTAGATAACTGAAGTGGGAATCGCTGTTTGTCATACAGAATTGGGTCCAGCTGTCACATGGAAACAGAACCTGAATGTCTATAATGTATCAGGGCTATTACAAGTGTGACAGCATATTACGAGTGTTTGTAATATGCCTGGCAGGACTGGTGAGTGAATACTTGGAGTTATTTGTTTGTTTTGGTAATTTAATTTTTTGCACAAACATGACAAGCAATTTCACTTGTGAGTGTTCTGTAATAAAGGGTGAGAGAAACCCAGTTTAGAAAACCTTTGCTTCCAAGATTTAAGTAGCTGGGTATGTGCTAAAAATCTGCCTGATGCATTGTCTTTGCTGTTCTATCTTCCTGTATCTGTGTTTGCTTTGCATCCACTTGATTTCATGAGAGGTTGGTAAAATAAACCATAGAGTCACTAGCTGTTCATGGTTTGTGTCCATTTCCTGGCTAGTTGCATCCTGTGGGATAGACTGTTGGGAATCTTTGTCTTCAGGAGCACATCTATATCCCAGACCATATTAAATGTGCAGGTACTCATGGCAAGAGGTGAGAAGGTATGATGGTCGGTTTCCCAAATCCAGAGCCTCTGGATTTCCCTGTAGGCTGTCAGGTGCATAAAAAGCAGCAGTAGGAGATGGTTTACATGTCAGTTTACAGTTGTACCTGTCGCCAATGAAAAACGTTGTGTGCCGATGTCCCAGCTGGGGAATGTCCTACGTACGTATCTACTCGACTCTGGAGAGAAAGC